ATTTCTAATACTTCAACCTCAGTAATACTAAGTTTAGTGAAAAATCCACTCTCAAGCTAACGTCGTTGCAATCCTATAATCGATTTTTTAAACCAGTGTTGTAAAGTTTATTTTCAAAAAGATTTCTTTCCTAGTTCTTCTGATAATCATTTCGCTGAGTGAAAATCGCGAACGAAATGAGAATAAAAGTTCCCGAATGATATGTGCGAAACAGTTTAGCAAACGGTTCTGAAAAAGAATTCCGATTTCGCTCTCTCAACCTATTTTACAAAAAATCGAGATGCGAGCTAGAATAAAAAATATCTTTTAACATACGCTCTCTCTTGCAGGTGAGTCAAAGTGGAAGTGATATTAGTTCCTCTCAATCTCAATCAACAAAGATCGCTCGGGAAATAACGCTTTTAGAAATTCCCATCGATAATTTACCAAGTGAAAACATCTCGCTTGCAATAATGAACTTTTCGCGATATTTCCAACACTGGTTTAAATTATGATATTGTAAGCTATTGAACGCCAGTAAAATAAAATTTAAATTTAGGCAGTAAAATTTATACTCCGTTCACATTACAGCTTATATCACGTTATATACGCTGTCTTGCAATGAGCACTCATACATCTAGTTTTCACTGGAAATCCTATGAACGAGTGCTCATTGCAAGACAGCCTAAATTACGTGATATAGGCTGTAATGTAAACGGGGTATTACTTTTCTGTTGAGAAAAACGCATCAAAACAATCATGAAAGTCTCTTGATACACAGCAAAAAATTAATTTTAATATCACATCAAAGTGAATGCACTTCAATCGTGTCGAAAATATGGTGTAATATTATTTGCCAAAAAGGACAAAATTATAACTAATACAGTGCGACATTACGCTGCTTTTACTCCATTTGTTTATGTTTGTGGCCATAAAAATTACATGAGATTTTTGACGAGTGCATCCTCTTTGATGTAACATTAAACTTATTTTGTTGCTATGTACAATACTTTTATTTTTCTTTTATTATAGAGGTTTTAAACCTGATGGCTCATTCACTTCTGTAATGAGAAACTATCAACATTTCTCTTGATATGTTTTTACTGAAAATTTTATACGGGACCGCTGAAAACCCAACAATTTCACGCGGTGATCAATTTGCCTCCGAACTACGGTACGCATCTTTGCTGGATGATTTGTAGCTATTCGAGTCAAACAGAACAAAAACACAAACTGATAGAGGAAATGGATGTAATGTCGGCCTAAATTCCCCTAATTTGGGCCCATACATAAATTCTGCAATCGACTAAATTTTCAATAGCGACCAAAATATCCATAGTACCGCCCAAATGACGCGTTCATCTAAATAAAATTGATTAATAACAGATTTTTAGCGATGGGCCCAATCTTAGATGCATAGGCCAACATTAGAGCCATTTCCCCTATTTCAGGAAAGGGTGAACTACATCCCTACGTTTGGCTTACTGGGATGAATAGGTACCATGTACATTATTTTGAATAAAGGAAATGGAATCGAATAAACAAACACGGTTAATTGTATCCATTGTTATGGTAACAACAAAACCAGTTGCAATCATATGTAAATATTTCCGCACGTAGTAGCCTTTTGGAAAATTAAATTATTATTTGTTTTCGTTTCGCAAGCAGAATAGCGATAGATCTGTGTTCAAAGGATTAGTGTGTAGTGTTGTGTTGTGTATCTTCTTCTTTGTTCTAATTTATCTTCTTCGCAATTCAAGATTATTGTTTATCGCATATTAACTTATTTTGTGCTCGAAACTTCGTGTTCTAGCACTTTCACAATTATTAATAGATCATATCATTCGAAAAGTTTAAATTTACGTTTCCTAACACTCGAACTTTACCGTTGAACAATATTTTGATATTTTTTCTTCTAGAACCTTGAGGAATTAGGGTCTTATTTATCGTAGGCTTTAAAAATCTGATATTTATTACTGCATTTTCTTAAAATTACTGGTAGAAGGTCGTCCCAAAACTGCTCGCCAATATGATTGATTGAGAGTAATGGATGCCTGTACCATTTTTGCATTAGTTAGAGAAAAGTGGGGCAATTTTGACAATGGGCACATAACATATGTGGAACTCGATCAGAAAAAATCAACCCCATTTCTGTGATTTCAAGTGGCATAAAGGGCGTCCACGATGAAATTGCCACAGTATGAAATTGCTCTAACTTTTTAACCGTTGGGTAGAATTTAATGAAAATTTGGGTGGATTTAGTTCATAGTGCATTATTTACATCCTGCAAGTTTCAAAGTCCTGTGATCAAAACTCGCGGAAATGGAGTCAAAGGAACAGCTCGTGCGTGATAAAATCTTGCGTATTCATCACGAGAACAAGGATCTCTCGCATCATTCCATCGCTAAAACGTTGGGAATCGCGAATTCCACGGTGTCGCGAGTGATTAAGCGGTTCGAGGAACGGTTGACCACCGATCGGAAGCCCAGAAGTGAAGGAAAAAGTATTCCGTACACCACAAAAAATCACAACCGCGTAGTTGGGGCCTTCAACCGAAATCCGAACGCCTCCGTTCGGGATGTGGCTAAGAAGCTGCACCTAAGCCGAAGTTTTGTCCAGAAGGCCAAAACTAAGGCTAGGCTTTGAACGTTCAAGGTACAAAAGGCCCCTAATCGCGACGAGAAGCAGAACAAGTCCGCGAAAACCCGTGCCAGGAAGTTGTACCTCAACATGCTGACGAAAGTTGAATGCTGCATCATGGACGACGAAACATATGTGAAGGCCGACTTCAAACAGATCCCCGGCAACCTGTTTTTCACGGCCAAGGATAAGTTCAGCGTTCCGGAGCATGTCCGCACTCAGAAGATGTCCAAATTTGCGAAGAAATTCCTGGTTTGGCAAGCCATCTGCACGTGCGGGAAGCGGAGTGCACCTTTCGTGACCCAGGACACGATGAACGGACAGGTGTACATAAAAGAGTGCCTCCAGAAGCGGCTGCTTCCTCTCCTGAAGGCCCACAATGTCCCAACAATCTTCTGGCCGGATTTGGCCTCATGCCACTACTCCAAGGACGTGCTGAAGTGGTATGCGGACAATAAGGTCAATTTCGTGCCAAAAATGTTCAACCCTCCCAACACTCCGGAGCTCCGCCCCATCGAGAAGTACTGGGCGATTATGAAGCAGCACCTTCTTAAACGACCTAAGGTAGTGAAGACAGTCGAGGAACTGAAGAAAGTATGGGTTTACATGCAAAAAACGGTTGATTCACAGGTTGTGCAGAATCTTATGGCCGGGGTTAAGGCCAAGGTGCGGGCATTTGCGTATGGACTGTAAATAAAATACGAGTAAAATGGTAAAATGAAGTTTAATAGTTATTTTTCAATCCCTGAAAATTTGATGGCAATCGGATGAAAACTCGAATTTTGCGAATCAATTTTGTGTGTGGCAATTTCATCGTGGACACCCTTTAGAAGGACATCGATATGTCAAATTGATTATACCAGCTGTAAAATGAGAAAGAAAACCAAGGGGGTAGTCAATTATATTCAAATAATAATAACCTGGTTTATAATTATATGACTTCCTAGCACTTCTGAACTTATGTCTTTGTTTATCGTTAACTATTCACGTCCATTATTTAAAAGTATATAGCTGGATTTAACAAATTCATCACCTTGCTTTACATAGCAAAAATATATATTAACGTATGCATTTAAAAAAGTATACATTTCTCACCGATATCACAAACGAAGTGACAGACGGAGCGGCTCGAAAACTTTGGTGACTAACCTGCTATTTCAATTTTTCAGTGTACCACATGGCAACACCACTACTACTGGATTGTACCACATGGCAACACTACTACCACAAACGAAGTGACAGACGACTAACTGGCGAAGAAATCCATTAAATTAATGTGGTTCACTGTAATAGAATTTTCTTGGAAGCTGTGAGTGGGCTCAATTTACCCCTCGTCAAAAGAGTAGCTCAATTAGGATGTTGGCAACACTCCTCAATAACGTATTGCATTAATACTGGCAACACGTCATCGAGACCCAGAAGCCAGCAATATCCATTGCATCGTCCTCTTTCGATTGCTGACCGACCTCGAGGTAAGACATGCTGTTGTCCGCTCTGCGCCATCCGTAAGACTCCAGCGTGTTGAGTTATTCCCGTCTAAAGTGCAGTGCTCACATTTTGGCGATCCTGCCAGGAGTACAATTCTGGATAATTGGACTGGCAGGAACCTGGCACAAATAATATTAGAAAATCTGACCTGCTCATGACGGGAATAACTCAATGGAAAATGAGCTTTACTGAAAAAAACAGCACGTGTTATGCGAGTCGGGTTGACCGCAATAAAAAAAAGAAGAAGGAAGAGAATCTCTTCTCAATAAATGAAAGGCCGCGGAGGTAACCTAAAACAATGTAATATTCTGGCACAGTAGGTGCAATATGGCCAATGGAACAAAGAAGCGCCATTTTACGATTTGGGAAAATCGTATTGTCAGTTAGTTGACTAGTTTTACCCTCGTTGGGAGGCCGCGGAGGTCACGAAAAAGTTCTGGATTGGTCGGGATGACTCCAAGGTACAATCACGTTGAAAAAAATAGGATTTTACGATTTGGGAAAATCGTATTGTCAAGTTGACTTGTTCTACCCTCGCTGGGGGACCGCGGAGGTCACGATAATAAAAATCCTGGGTGGGTCGAGAGAACTCCAGAGTATTATCACACTCATCGGTTCGTGTTGACCGAACGAAAAAAATCGGGATGCTTAGAAACCAACTCACTTGCTTAGTCTAAATCCGGCTAAAATTGTTTTAGGAATGCAAATGATTCCACAGTCACATACGCATGGCACATAACACTCTGTACCTGAATGTCATAGAGCTACCCTGACAGATTTTGCAACTCGTTTCCTTTTCTAGTTCATAAATTTTAACATTGTGATGATTGCAAATTACAGGTTACAGTTACGAAACGATTCGGCGAGAAGCACGGGTAACCCCTAAAATCAGAATGGAGGACGAAGGAAAGTACGTCCGTGCTACAGGCAGTTCGGAAAGCGGACCTGATGAGTCGCATAACTTGGAGGACACCATAAAAGAGACGAACGAGATTGAATCCAGCTGTGAGGGTGATCAGGAGCAAGGTGATCAACTCTCTGATTGCACCAGTTCGACCTCATGCTCCACTACGTCGGATTCATCAGTCTATTCACCACCAGTACCACCACCACCGTCGAGCGAAAGCGAAGATCGTATGGATCCAAGACGGTCCCTGGTAATCGGGACGTCGACCGAAGAACCAAGGGAAGCGAAATCGGGAAGCGTTGAGAAGATCGAGCGATTACAGAAGGTCATTGCCGATTTGACTAAATCATTGAGTGCATATCAACGACCAAACAACGCGACGCATCGTGACGTTGACGACAATTGGGCTGGTCCCTACGATTCCACCGGCTATACGGATGTTACTCAGGCCGCTGTAAGATGGGACCACATTAAACCCTTCCCGAATGGTATTCCCGCAAACAAAATGTGGGAAGAGTGGAATAGGTTCATTGAGAACTTTGAGATAGCGGCGTCTCTGGGAAACGCTGCAAATCCCGTACAACGTTCAAAGCTACTGTTCCTTTGTTTGGGACAGGAACTCCAAGGCATAGTAAGGGCAGCCCAACTACGACCAAGCCTAGCGGAACCCGATTGTTACACAGTTTTTGTGAAAAACGTGCGGAACTACCTACAATCCATGACGGACACAGCAGCCGAACATGAGGCGTTTGCTGGTATGATGCAAGGGACTGGAGAATCTGCTGTGGCGTTCCATGCCAGGCTCCAGGAGAAGGTCAGGCTATGCGGCTACAGCCCCTCTGATCAAGAGCGTTTCGTCAGGGCTCAATTGTTGAAAGGGCTTAGGAACAGGGAGCTCACAAAAACGGCCAGGATCTACAGCTACCAGACGAACTTCATAGTGCAATCAGCGACAAGGGAGGAAGCTTACGAGGCGGAAACAGCACAACCCAGTGGCTCCAATATTTCTGCAGTTCATCAGCGATACCGGAAATCACCCACTGAAATGCATCAAAAGCGCAGAAAAGAGGGTCAAGATGATAGACATCCGACAAAGCGATATCGCAGCTTCGACAAGCAATCTCATGGGCGTCGAAATCGTTGCTATCGTTGCAACCGTCCTTCGCACAGGAGTGGTACAACCTGTCCGGCCCTCGACAAAAACTGCAACGGTTGCGGAGAACGTGGGCACTTCATTGCATCGTGTCGGAAGCGGCGCGTGAATAATGTACGACGCGATACGGAGTCAAATCCTGCTGGCTGGACCGATGAGGAGAATGAAGAAAAGAAGGTATTAAATAATTGATTATTGTAAAACTTCTCTGAATAAAAACAAGTGTTTTTGAATATGCCGAATAAATGTTTCGTTCGCGTATTACCATTTCAGCAAGTAAACATACTATCCCTTAACGATGTATTAATTAATTGTTGCGTTGGGTCGTCGAGCTCAATAACATTCTTGATTGACTCCGGGGCCGACGTGAACGTCATCGGAGGCAACGACTGGAAGCTCCTGAAGCGAGAATTTCATCTTGGGAGGGCCGAACTTAACCCGGTTCAACCACCAGCTGACAGTGGGTTACATGCTTACGGTTCGGGAAAGCCAATAACTGTCAACGCAGCATTCAGGGCAGAAATTGTTGCCTTCGAATCTTCAAAACCCCCTATTGAAACATTGTTTTATGTCGCGAGCGAAGGACGACGTTCATTACTCGGGCGTTCAACGGCGAGCGACATGGGCTTGTTGCATGTAGGAGCGGCAATCAACAGTTGCGAGATCCCAAATGAAGCACAAGTGTTCCCCAAAATGCCGGGAATCAAAATTAAATTCAGTGTTGACAAGAGAGTTGTCCCAGTAAAGAATGCCTACTACAATGTGCCAGCAGCCTACAGAGAAGGAGCGCGAATCAGGCTTCAAGAGATGGAGACGCGTGGCATTATAGAGCGAGTCACGAAGGCACCGGAGTGGATTAGCGGCATGTCTGCGGTTGCCAAAGGCAAAGACGACTTCCGGTTGGTCGTCAATATGAGAGGACCAAACAAAGCGATCAACCGGGAGTACTACCGCCTTCCGTTAATCGAAGAGATGAAGGTTAAGTTGCATGGGGCTAGATACTTCTCCAAGCTCGACTTGAGCAATGCGTATTATCATTTGGAGCTGTCGAATGAGTCCCGTGACCTTACAACCTTTCTGACTGAGTCTGGAATGTTCCGCTTCACGCGACTGATGTTTGGCGTTAACTGTGCGCCAGAGATATTTCAACGAGAGATGGTCCGTATCTTAGAAGACGTAGATGACGTGATCGTTTATATCGATGATATCCTGGTACACGCAGCAACCCTAGAAGAACTCCGTAAAACTGTAGCGAAAGTGCTGCATATCTTGAGAGCGAATAACCTGACCATCAATACCGACAAATGTGAGTTTGACATGTCTCGAATCAAATTCCTCGGCCATGAGCTGGACAAAGATGGCTTTCACATCGAAGAGGCCAAGGTGAAAAGCATCCAGTGTTTTCGTGAGCCGGTATCCGTTTCAGAGCTCCGGAGTTTCCTGGGCCTCGCATCCTTTGTCAGTCCTCATGTTCAGAACTTTGCCGACATATCTAGTCCACTATGGTCTGCAACAACCTCGTGGAATTGGGGACCTGACCAAAAAAAGGCATTCAATATAATCAAGGAACGAATCATCCAATGCACCATAGCCCAAGGTTTCTTTTCCGAAGATGACAAGACAATCTTGTACACGGACGCCTCGCCGGTGGCACTTGGTGCTGTCCTTGTACAAGAGGATAACCACGCACGCAGAATAATCTCGTTCGCCTCTAAAGCGCTCACGAAAACTGAAAAAAGCTACCCCCAGAACCAACGGGAAGCGTTGGCGGCCGTCTGGGCGGTAGAACACTTTTCGTACTTCCTGCTTGGGAGGCGGTTCATTCTTCGCACGGATGCACAAGGAGTAACATTCATCCTAAATCGTACTCGGGAAGAGTCGAAGAGAGCTCTCACACGAGCAGATGGATGGGCCCTTCGACTCAGTCCTTATGACTATGACGTCGAGTATATTCGCGGTAGGGATAACATCGCGGATGCATCGTCAAGGCTGTATAACGGGAATGATGACCCCTTCGAAGAACAAATCAGCCCTTGGGAGATAGCGTCGCTTGAAGCAAACTCGGTTAGTTTTCTGACGAAAGATGAGGTAAAAGAAGCTACAGCCAAGGACGAGACTCTGCTGTTGGTAATACAATCTCTGCATACAGGAACATGGCCCGAACATCTTCGAAAGTTTGAAAAACTTGAAAGCGACCTGTCTACTCGAGATGACATCGTCGTAAAAACAGGCTGCGCAGTGATCCCCGAATCTCTCCGAAAGAAAGCTCTGGAGGTCGCACACATAGGCCATCCATCGGCCTCAAAAATGAAGTCCATCTTACGTCAGCGCGTGTGGTGGCCTGGAATGGCAACAGACGCTGAAAGATGGGTAGAAGCTTGCGCTACCTGTGCTCTTAACGGAAGACCAGAGAAAACTACGCCTATGCAGCGCATCTTCGCTCCCAAGTCAGTTTGGGAAACCATCGCGTTGGACTTTAACGGACCATATGTTCAGTTCGGAGGAATTTCTATTCTCGTTGTAGTTGATTATCGCTCACGATATTTAGTCGCCAGGCCGGTAAAATCGACAAGCTTCTATCACATGAAGGCGATACTAGAAGCGATCTTCGAAAGGGAAGGATTTCCAGCGAACATAAAAACTGACAATGGTCCGCCTTTCAATGGCAGCGAGTACAAAACATATTGTTATGAACGTGATATTCACACCATATACTCAACTCCTCTATTTCCACAACAGAACGGTCTTGTAGAGGGTTACATGAAGGTCATTAACAAGGCGATGTGCACTGCGTCCTCTGATAAAACCAACTTTGTCGATGAGCTTCGCGCGGCTGTGGATGCTCATAATGCGGCCACCCACCGGGTAACAAAACTAGCACCTGAAGAAGTAATGATGGGTCGCAAAATTAAGCGTGGTCTTCCTCTCCTACGCCACGAAAGCAGCACCATTGATGATGACCTTTTTGAGCAACGGGATCGAGAATCCAAGCTACTGGCAAAACAGCGTGAAGATGCACGACGTGGTGCCCGACAATGTCGAGTCAAACCCGGTGATATCGTCATCGTGGAACGTTCATCGCGGGCGAAAGGGGAAACTAGATTCTCTCCTATGCGTTACACGGTTGTTGAAGAACAGAACGGCAGCTTAACACTTAGCAACGAGGCAGGTCAAATCCTCAAACGCCATGTATCGCAAACCAAAAAAGTTTGTACTTGGCGCGACTCCAGCGACACTGTCCCTGAAAATCAAGCAGAACCAGCACAACAGGCAAAACCAGCACAACAGGCAGAACCAGTGCAACAGGCAGATCAGCAAAATTCAACTCGAAAGAAACGAACTCCCGCGTATTTAAAGGACTACGTGAAAACAGTAGCTATCCAAAAGCTGTAAATGTAGAACTTCTCACTTGTTTACGTTTTTTTTCTTTTCCGCAATGCAAATAAAACAATGTCTGAGTAATTCTGAATTATTCTTACCAACACCTTCAAACGAATCTAATTTTTCTTGACAGAAGTCAGGGGGCTGGCAACCCTATATCAATCCTATACGTTTGACAGTAGGCAACATCTCGGGCAGGGGGCTGGCAACCCTATATCAATCCTATACGTTTGACAGTAGGCAACATCTCGGGCCTTATTTAAATACGGCCCGCCTGACGTATGCATGGTGGAAAGGGACGAAAAATCGTGTTATAAGCAGAAAGACAAGAGTAGATGATAGCATCAAAAACATGGCCGCTAGCCAGGCCCCTGATCTCGGGCCTTATTTAAATACGGCCCGCCTGACGTATGCATGGTGGAAAGGGACGAAAAATCGTGTTATAAGCAGAAAGACAAGAGTAGATGATAGCATCAAAAACATGGCCGCTAGCCAGGCCCCTGACAGAAGTGCTGAATCACTGATTACAGAGAGAGGTGAAGCAGATCGTGAAATATGGTTGTATTAGTAAACAAAAAAAATCAACGTAAAAGCAAGTAGTGACGTCACTAATTGCTTGTATCGTACAGGGGTTTTACTCACACAACTTAAACGATTGCTTCACCTCGGTAATCCATCTCATTGGTGCTGAATAGCTGAATGACATTTGATTCTTGCACGGGAGTTTGAACATCATAGGGTTCAGTCTACACGCTTAAATAAAACAACGTATCTGAAAAGTTTAAAGAACTCAAATTTGGGAAAAGCATTGTTTTGTCGGTAAAAATATACAAAGGGGAAATGGATGTAATGTCAGCCTAAATGCTTCTGATTTGGGCCCATACATAAATTCAGCAATCGACTAAATTTTCATTAGCGACCAAAAATATCCATTAGTACCGTCCCAATGACGCGTTCATCTAGATAAAATTGATAAACAGTAGATTTTTAGCGATGGGCCCAATCTTAGATCGATAGGCCAACATTGGAGCCATTTCCATTAAATGACCACCTTGGTGGGATTGGTTTGTTTTAAAATTTGAAAAAGGAGACTACTTATAACTACTATTTACAACTACAACTAACCTACAACTACTGCCATTTCCATTATATATATATTTTAATTATATATTTTTCATTTTATTTTTTAATGGGGAAGTAGGAAGATGTGAGTGGGCTCAATTTACCCCTCGTCAAAAGAGTAGCTCAATTAGGATGTTGGCAACACTCCTCAATAACGTATTGCATTAATACTGGCAACACGTCATCGAGACCCAGAAGCCAGCAATATCCATTGCATCGTCCTCTTTCGATTGCTGACCGACCTCGAGGTAAGACATGCTGTTGTCCGCTCTGCGCCATCCGTAAGACTCCAGCGTGTTGAGTTATTCCCGTCTAAAGTGCAGTGCTCACAGAAGCTTGTGCCATCATCCACCAGATGGGTTAGTTTTTTTGTTTTGATTTGAACAAAGTTGATTTTGTGTACAATGATTCTTTGACAGTGTGCAAAGAGTGTATCATTTTGTCATTTTTTTATGCATTTCAGTTTTGAGTAGAGTGAAAGAGATAGAACCAAAACATTCTAATATATTTGGTGAAAATGCTAGTACAATCCAGTAGTAGTGTTGCCATGTGGTACAATCCAGTAGTAGTGGTATTGCCATGTGGTACACTGAAAAATTGCAATAGCAGGTTAGTCACCAAAGTTTTCGAGCCGCTCCGTCTGTCACTTCGTTTGTGCTACTACTGAATTGAACTAGCATTTTCACCAAACGTACTAGAATGTTTTGGTTCTATCTCTTTCACTCTACTCAAAACTGAAATGCATAAAAAATGACAAAATGATACGCACTCTTTGCCAGAGCTGCCAGGTGGTTTTATAAAAAATCTGTATCCACTCTATTAAAAAATCTGTATTTTCTGTATTGACGATTTTTTTCTTAATTAATCATGTTTCGTTGTTTTACAAATACAGTGCATACAAAATAACGATAAAAAGTGCTTAACCACCTATTCGGGCTATCGTACTAACCATACGGGATATAATTGCGCCATTTGTGATATCGTCCGTACTTATTTATAAGAGTGATATGAAGCCGTTTGAAAATGTATGGAGATTTTAGTTTCTATTCATTATCTTCCTGATAAGCAGTTTTAAATGCAAAAAAGTGCACGAGTTCATTACTATTTGATATTTTTGATATAGATGAATACAATTAATTACATCATTTGTGTGGTAGTTACACCGAAAAGTCGAGAGATGTCGCCCCGCCAGTGCTGGTAACATCATTTTTGCAGTATGGAGAATATCAGAAAATCCACAATTTCTTACGAAATACATTTTCAATGCGAAACTACCGTGACGGGCGTGACTGCGTTTTCCGTTGGAGGGAGTGAGAGAAGCATAAAAGAAACCAACGCCTCGAGCAGATCCCACTGCAAAAAATATGGTTTTTAGCACAACAATTAATTTTGGAGAGAAGGGGGTACGCTGATAAAATCGAGCAAGTTATTTTGTTTTTATAAATTTTGAATTTTTTTTTCTCAAGCATTTTATAAAAATCTGTATAAATCTGTATTGTAATTTAAAAATCTGTGATAAATCTGTATTCTGTATCGGGTGGATGATGGCACAAGCTTCCAAGAAAATTCTATTACAGTGAACCACATTATTTAAATGGATTTCTTCGCCAGTTAGTCGTCTGTCACTTCGTTTGTGCCGATATGTTATGCATTGATCTGCCACCCAACGATTAATCCTGCAATTTCATTGTAAGCTACCATATGTCAACTGTTTACAGCCCAATTTTGAAAGCGTTACGTATTGTTTTTCTGTAGTTATGACAAAAATGAATTATAAATTAGTGCGGGTAATTTTTTTTCTATTATATTTCTGTAAACTGAACAATGTAGGTACCATTTTTTCGTTGAACTTTTTCTTATTGTTTGGATCCAATTGCATCAACCTTTGTTTTGCGATCGTGCAAATTAGGAGTTTACTCCATACATTGTAAAGACCAGAGAGCAGTAGCAAAATGCATACCTTTCTGCGGTTTAGGCGGAAAATATACAGTGTATAGAGGTGACCATCGTTCCATTCGCAAGAATTTCGTAAGCCGGACGATAAATCAAACCGAGCGCTTCGATACCTAAGGATTCAACCCTCCATATGTTTCTCAAATGCGGCCAATTGCAAATTTTTGCTCAAATCCCAACACAAAGATCTACTCCAATTACTTTCTACTAGAAACTAGAAAGATTGATCTAGAAGGCAAAGGAGGGACTAAACAGGATCCTAACAAACTTGTCGACCCCAATGGCTAAGGTCTCAGCCTGGGACTTCCAGCTAGCTGTCTCAAAATTACCAGGAACAACTATTTTTTTCTAGCAACATTAAGCACTATTTACAAACGAAAGTAGTCATTTGGATCTATTTTACATAAGGTAAGTGTACCAGTTTTGACACTAGTGGTCCAGTTTTCGACCCTAGGACCTAAATCAAATTTGAAATAAATTTTCGTGGTTTTATTTTCGAAGATTTATGGCAAAACAAATGTTCGAACATTGTATCGAATTTTTTTTTTAATAATATTAAAATGTGAAATTTAAGATGGGGCCAATTCAATGACCACTAGGGTCTAAAACTGGCACACTTACCCTACTTTTATTTCTAGCTTATTTGGAAAAAACATGATTTTTTTAAACGTTAGTATCCATCAACATAAAATGTCATGCTGAAATCGTAACATTCATAAGTTGACATACTAAAAGCACACTGAACAATATGACTGGTTAATAACACTCTTGATTGGCTTCTGACCGACTTGAATATACTAGTTAAAAAATCCTTTGATAAGCCCCCTGTAGAGATAGTCGAAAAAATAATGGACAGATTAACTCGACAATTTACAAATCGCCTTTTCGGTCACTCTGTAACTCTTTACTCCTATTGGCGTTGACGGCACCGTCTAAAAATCGTCTCTGCTAGCAAAGATTGACAGTTTCTTATGGGAATATTCGATGGAGTGAAAGGATAGTACCAACAATCAATACGAAACTAACGATTTTAAATTGGCTCACCACTTTAGTAGCCTATTGGCACAAACGAAGTTACAGACGACTTTCTCCGAAGAAATTAATTAAAATAAGGTGGTTCTCTGTAATAGAATTTTAGACCACTTTCCGCCGCTCACCGCCAGGTTCGCTAGTATTTTTGATTTGAATTAATTCAAGTTGGTTTTGTGTGCAATGATCTGGCAACTCGCGTTCTCACTCGCGTTGACGGGGTGCTGTTTTCTCACTCATCGAAGGAAATTTTGATTAGAGTGAGAAAGTAAGGAACAGTCAGCGCGGGAACCGTGTGCGGTACTATAGGTGCGGCAGAAAGAATGTAGTCGACTCCTTCGTTCTCACGGTGTTCTTACGCATGATCCAACGTTACGTCACACTAGATTATGCATAAGAACGTCGTGAGCAAAGTTTGTATGTTTGGGAGCCTCTTGCATTCAACTCGCATTCGTCCTCGAGTTCGTGTGGAAGCCATTCAGAGCGGAGGTGGCCAGGAGCGTGGCATTCGAAGTGGAACCGTTCCGACTCCACTGGTCGTTGGATTGGGGGAAGCCTGTGAAATCGCTAGCCGTGAAATGGAGTACGATCACAAATGGATGGAGTTCCTCTCGAAACGCCTGATGGACCAAATCTTCGCATCGCTACCGAAAGTCATCCGCAATGGCGATCCAGTTCATTCTTATCCCGGATGTATCAATCTGTCGTTTGCATACGTTGAGGGTGAATCGCTGTTGATGGCGCTGAAAGACGTTGCCCTCTCGAGTGGGTCGGCTTGCACTTCGGCTTCACTAGAACCGTCGTATGTGCTGCGTGCGATTGGTGCCGACGAAGATCTGGCTCACAGCTCGATTCGCTTTGGCATCGGACGGTTTACCACCATCGAGGAAATCGACTACATAGCTGAAAAGTGCATCAAGCACGTGACTCGACTCCGAGAGATGTCCCCGCTGTGGGAGATGGTCCAGGAAGGTATCGACATCAAGTCGATCCAGTGGTCGCAGCATTAGAGCGGACGGGTCGGGGCATATTTTAAAGAGAGATTTGATTTTGTATGTTCTGCTGTGTATGGTTGAATTCAGTGAGGGTTTTTTTTTAATTGTTAATCATTGATTGTGTTATTAACACATCCACTTTTGGTAGTAAGTAGGTATTGAGACGAGAGAAAAATAATGTATAGCTTTGCTACATATGCTATTAGAGACAGCAATAAATCTTAAGACAGTGAAATCATTGTGAGTATTTCATCATTCACTTGGCGAAAAAACTTCCTATCAGCGATTGTTTGAAATAGTATAAACTTTGTTAGTTCCCGTCAAGGACGGCGTTGTTACGACTACGCTAAATTCGCAAATCTGAGGTATTCGTGGACTGCCATCTCAGATTTGCTTTGGCGCGGATTAGTTCCACTTAGGGTTAATTCAACTAAGTTTCGATTCTAATTATTTGAAGACTCCAGGAAAATCTACGTTTAGAAAGACCTTCTATTATTTAATAAAGAAGTAAAGCAGTAAAGTTATTAATAGTTGGTTGGGCAAGCTAAAATATCATTTAAAAAAATGTGTTCAATGTCGATAAGCTTTCCGCAAAATCCGCACTTCAAAAGCTATAAAACCGCACAAAATTTGCGACACTTGTAACAGCCCTGCAGTTGGCTTCGGCGTGCCAGAGAATACCTAATCCACCTAACCGGACCTGAAGAAACGGAAAGGAGCGCGACTGGGATTAGACGGGCTAGCCTTATGAAGCTCTCTACTGACATACAATATAGCATGGTTGCAGCAACCTTATATTTCACCTATTTGTCCCTAAAGATCACTAATTTACACCCGACACCCTAGGTAGGATAATGTCATCGCAAATAACAACAATTCCCGTTGAATACATAGTGCGAAAAATGCTCTTGAATTACCCCAAACCGTCTCATCACAACCTACGCCTCGGTCAGTGTGGCCCGACCGATCGTTTTCGGCATCTTTTTATTGGTGGAATCCTCGAGCTCCTTCGGTTTGTAGTAATGCGGTGCCACCTCCAGCAGCCACTTGCTTTCGATTTCAATCACCGACCGCATGTACTCCTCCGTCGTAAACACCAGCTCGTGGTACAGCACCCAACGAGGCAGTTCTTCGAACAGTGCCGAATTCGGATGGATCATCACCGTCTGATTGTGCTTGGCCGTTTTGTAGTAACCCCCCTTGGAAAGCCGAGCGACGTGATAAAAGTACCCGGCTGTAATAGCCTTCCGGATGTTGGTCGTTTCCGGCAGACTGGAAACCATTTCGATTTCGACTCGCTGCATTAACCCAACCAGCTGCTCCCGGACATCGCGAGCTCGTTTCATCGAACGGAACTGAATGAAATTTTCGTAACACCACTGAGTGCTGTAGTCCGATTCGGCCCATTGATTGTAGACCTGCAGCAAACTCAAGTGGTCCCCGTGCATGTGGTTGAAGTTCTTCCGGGCCGTATCTGCGTGGATGATTTTATCTTTCGGTCGGTAGAAGATGGCTCCATTCACCGATAGCATTGCAGCGATGGCCACCACCTCCTCGGAACATTTGTACTTTTCACTAGCAAGCAGCATTTTTGCCATCATGGGATCGACCGGAAATTCCGCCATCCGTCGTCCAAGTTTGGTCAGTTCACCGTGGTGATTCAATGCCCCTAGGGCGTAAAGTTGCTCCAATGCCAAAACCAACGTTTCATGTGGTGGAGGATCGAGGAAATCGAAATGAAGCAAATCGTTGATTCCAAGAGCTTTGAGCATTAGCACGGCATTGCCCAGGTTTATGCGCTGAATTTCCGGGACGGTGTTGTCTTCCAGCTCGTGTTTGTATGCCCAGGCTGTGTACAGACGAAAGCACTTGCCAGGGGCAACGCGCCCTGCTCGACCTGCACGTTGATTGGCAGACGCTTTCGAAATGGGCACGACCATCAGGGTCTCCATCCCGGTTCTGGAGTTAAAATTATTTTGCTTTGCAAAGCCCGGATCGATCACGTACATTATGTTATCGATGGTTAGTGATGTCTCGGCGATGTTGGTGGCCAGTACGACTTTCCGGGCGTTCGGTGGAGTTGGATCGAAAATTTTCGCCTGCATGACCGAAGGCAGATTGGCATAAATGGGAAGGATGAGTAGTTCCTTGAGTTTGGAACCCAACCGCTTGACGCGATCCTGGAGCATCTCCTGGCAGGCTTCGATTTCCTCTTGTCCTGGAACGAAAAAAAAATGTAATTTTTTAACATCGCATAGAAATAGACCCACTTACCAGTTAAAAATACAAGAATGTCTCCAAGAGGCTGAGTGGCATGAATCTGTAGAACCGACACCACACATGCATCGATATAATCTGCTTCCGGTGCTTTGGTGTAGAATACATCAACCTAGAAGAGAAAAAGTTAGATTTTACAGCAAAACACAAAGCAAGTCAAATCTAACTACGTACCGGAAAACGACGACCAGGAATACGGAATATGTTCGCATCATCGAAGAAATCCGAAAACTTTTCCGCATCCAACGTGGCACTGGAAATCAGTAGTTTCAAATCCAACCGAAACCGCGCAATGTCCTTCACCAATCCAAACAGAATGTCCGTGTGCAACGTACGCTCGTGAGCTTCATCGATAATCATCACACTATACGAAGCTAGGTCCGGTTCCGAAAGAAACTCCCTGTGCAACGTACCATCTGTCATGTATTTAATGACAGTCCGCTCGGATGTGCAATCCTCGAAACGAATACTATAACCAACTTCGTTGCCCAACTTGACGCCCATTTCCTGTGCAACACGTGCCGCCACGGACATCGCTGCCACGCGACGAGGCTGAGTACATCCAATCTTCTTGCCGTCGTTTGTAAACCCAGCTTCATAGAGATACTGTGGAATCTGTGTCGTTTTTCCCGAACCCGTTTCTCCTTCGATAATAAGAATCTGGTGTTCTTTTATAGCGGCTATGAGATCCTCCTTGAATGGAAAAACTGGAAGTGATTTCTTCGTTTCCTCAATGTCCATCTTCTTCCTTTCCGCCTCAGATACCGGTGCTTTCCGGTCCTTTTCTTTAGTTCCATCCATTCGTCGGAGTGCCTGGACGAAATCAATCTGATCATCCAACAGCAGTTCATACTCTTCAGCACCAGCACCACTTGCGAACCTCTTCGTTTTTGAAAGTAAATTTCACGCACAGTCTGACGTTTGCTTACGGATTTTACCATAGGAGTAAAGAGCTATAGATTCGCCGTCAAGGCCAATAGCATCAACTATATACTTTAAGCTAGTACATATGAGTAGATAGTGTTGCCGTGAGGTACACTGAAAAATTGAAATAGCAGGTTAGTCACCAAAGTTTTCGAGCCGCTCCGTCTGTCACTTCGTTTGTGCTATTGGTCCCAAGCAAACGATTAACGTACCCTATTCTAGTTGAAATTCTATTACTACACTATGTTTGTTTTGATTCGCTATGAAAGTTTGACAGATAACATCAGGGGTGTGTGGATTCATGCAGAACATGCAGGGGTGAGTGAAATAGCTTGGGACTGCTTGGGACCGTTGTTCTGGTACTGAGTGAGCCAAAAATAATAATGATTTTCTTCGGGACCCAGTGGTCTTAGAGTTACCTCTATGATAGTACCAACCGGCGGCAACTAACGATTTAAAATTGACTCACTACTTGACTAACCTATTGGTCACAAGTAAACGATTAACGTACACCATTCTAGTGTTTGTTTTGATTCGCTATGAAAGTTTGACAAATAAAATGAGGGGATGGATTTTCCTATGTTTCGAGGGGTGAATTGATTAGCTTGGGACCGAAGAGAGTACCAGAGCTGAGCCAAAAAGTTGAGCACGTTTCTTCGGAACCTTCTGGTCTTAGAGTAACCTATATGCTAATAGCAACAATCAATACGAAACTAACGATTTTAAATTGGCTCACCACTTTAGTAGCCTATTGGTCCCAAGCAAACGATTAACGTACCCTATTCTAGTTGAAATTCTATTACTACACTATGTTTGTTTTGATTCGCTATGAAAGTTTGACAGATAACATCAGGGGTGTGTGGATTCATGCAGAACATGCAGGGGTGAGTGAAATAGCTTGGGACTGCTTGGGACCGTTGTTCTGGTACTGAGTGAGCCAAAAATAATAATGATTTTCTTCGGGACCCAGTAGTCTTAGAGTTACCTCTATGCTAATAGGCTAACAGGAGAGGAAGAGGAGTTGAAAAAAGTCAAGAACGACAAGGAAGACAACAAGGAGGAAGGATGGCGTACCGTCGAGAAGCCGAAGGAGAAGTGGAAAAAACCGAAGGAAAAATAAGTGAAGAAGAAAGAAGAACAGAAGAAGGAGAAACACAGGCCTCGTCGGGAGCGAAGTAAGGGTGATGCTCTGATCGTCGAAGCAAAAGACAAAACGTCGTATGCAGCACTCCTTCGGAAGGTTCGAGAGAATCCGGAGTTGAAGCAACTAGGAGAAAACCAGACGCACCCAGAAAGGCGAGATGCTCTTTGAGCTAAAGAAGGATCCTGCGATCAAGAGCTCAGCCTTCAAGGAGCTCGACGAAAAGTCTCTTGACGAAGAGGCGAGCGTAAGAGATCTATCCCAGGAGACAGTGGTCGAGTGCAGGGACCTGCACGAGATCACTACAGAAGAGGAGTTGAGAAGTGCGTTGAGAGTGAACTGCGATCTGGGAGATGTTCCGATGTTAATCCGGATGAGGAAGGCGTACGGTGGCATGCAAACGGCGGTGATACCAACAATCAATACGAAACTAACGATTTTAAATTGGCTCACCACATTAGTAGCCTATTGGTCCCAAGCAAACGATTAACGTACCCTATTCTAGTCGAAATTCTAGTACTACGCAATGTTTGTTTTGATTCGCTATGAAAGTTTGACAGATAAAATGAGGGGTTATTGGTTTTTCCTATGTTTCGAGGGGTGATTCGACAAGCTTGGGACCGAAGATAGTACCAGAGGTGAGCCAAAAAGTTGAGCACGTTTCTTTGGGACCTACTTGTCTTAGAGTTACCTCTATGGTGATACTTCTTTGGACTGTTGCAGCGAATAAGCTGTTGGAGACGGGCAAGGTCAAGGTTGGCTGGTCAGTGTGCTTGCTGAAAGCCACTCCGCGGGTTACCAAGCAACTGGAGCGATGCTTGAAGTGCATGGGATTCGGTGACCAGGCCGAGGGGGCGACACATCTAAATCTCAATTCTAGATGCTCAAAAAATAAATCTTCGAAAAATCTTCTTTCATTTCTCGCATCTACTTGCATCGCGCAACACGGGTTGTCAACTCACCATTTGTATCCCTGCGTATGTGTGTGTGTGTGTGTGTGTGTGTGTGTGCGTCTGTGTGTGTGTTTGTGTGTGTGTGTGTGTGTGTGTGTGTGTGTGTGTGTGTGTGTGTGTGTGTGTGTGTGTGTGTGTGTGTGTGTGTGTGTGTGTGTGTGTGTGTGTGTGTGTGTGTGTGTGTGTGTGTGTGTGTGTGTCTGTGTGTGCGTGTGTGTTTTTTTTTTTCAAGAAGCCTGGCCTGTACTTAAGTTGGCACGGTGTGGTATCCACTAGTTGCCTGGTGCAGCTCCACTAAAACCCATTCCTTACTCTCTCCTCTACCTGGATCCCTGTGAAGCGACTACTTCGGGAGGTGGCTGTGCTCATGCACTTGTCGTACTCTCAGCGCTAGCTGGGGTTGCTAGATCGCTGCTCTTCTCTACATTTACGCTGCAGCTCCGACATAATCCGCTTGACTGTCCTGCTGACGGTATTCCAAGTGCCCTCCTCTCGACACATTTCAACGACGACATTCTCCACGTTAAGGACGGGCATCTCCGTTCGCACTGCCTCGAACCTTGGACAGTCGAAGACCACATGCTCCGGCGATTCATCCACTGCAGGTATTTCCTGAAGCAGCCGTGGCCAGACAGGAACTGCGTTAGGTGGAAATTGACTTCTCCGTGTTTTCTGTTCACCCAGGTCGAAAGAATCGGTATTAGCATAGAGGTAACTCTAAGACCACTGGGTCCCGAAGAAAATCATTATTATTTTTGGCTCACTCAGTACCAGAACAACGGTCCCAAGCAGTCCCAAGCTATTTCACTCACCCCTGCATGTTCTGCATGAATCCACACACCCCTGATGTTATCTGTCAAACTTTCATAGCGAATCAAAACAAACATAGTGTAGTAATAGAATTTCAACTAGAATAGGGTACGTTAATCGTTTGCTTGGGACCAATAGGCTACTAAAGTGGTGAGCCAATTTAAAATCGTTAGTTTCGTATTGATTGTTGGTATTAGTCTATGTGTCCATCTACCGTTCTCCGTCGTGTTCCACTCCTGTTGCCACTTAGCCAATGACTCCACTCTCACAACTTTCCGTACTCTTCTGGCTTCTCTCCACCTGTAGCACTTGCTGTCCTCCGCCAGGGTGATGCCGATAGGGATCATACCGGCGATAACGCATACTGCTTCCGACGAGATGGTTCTGTACGCACTCACGACTCGCATGGCCATGAGCCGGAACGTACTGTTCAGTTTCCTTTGGTTCTGCTTCGTTTCCAGCGCTGGAACCCAGGCTGGACCTCCACATCTCAGTATCGATGATGACATGCTGGCCAGAAGACGCCTCTTGCTACTGCTGGGACCAGCGTTGTTCGGCATGATTCTAGCTATCGCGTTGATGGCCTTCTCACAGGCATATTCGACGTGGCTGTTGAAGTTTAGCCGGTCATCGATCATCACTCCCAGGTATTTTAACACACGCTTCGAGGTTATGGTGTGCTCCCCGACGGTGATTTCTGCCCGCTGTACCGCTTTACAGTTACTGACCAATAACACTTCCGTTTTGTGGTGGGCTATTTGCAGCTTCGCTCCTTTCATCCAGTTACCAATCATGTCGATTGCCTCGGTTGACAACACTTCCACCTCTTCCAGCGTCTCGCCTGTTACCGTCAAGACGACGTCGTCCACAAAGCCAACGATCTCAACTCCTTTGGGCAGTTTCAGCGTTAGCACGCCGTTGTACATCCCGTTCCAGAGCGTTGGACCAAGGATGGAGCCTTGTGTAACTCCCGCTGTAATCCTAATCGATCTCTGTCCCATGTCTGGCTCGTAGACCAGAACCCGGTTCTGGAAATAACTCCTCTGGATCCTGCACAGGTAGTCAGGGACCCTCATTCTATGCAGTGCTTCGGCGATGGCCTCCCAGCTGGCGCTGTTGAACGCATTCTTGACGTCGATCGTTATCACGGCGCAATATCGATCTCCTGTTCGCTTCTGTTTGGATGCCTTTTCAGCTCTCTCGACCACTGTCCGAATTGCATCCACCGTCGATCTCCCTTTCCGGAATCCGAACTGCCTCTCCGACAATCCGTGCTCACTCTCCGTGTATTTCATCAGCCTGTTTAGGATGATCCTCTCCAAGAGTTTTCCGAGTGTATCCAGCAGGCATATAGGCCTGTATGATGCTGGATCCCCCGGCGGTTTTCCTGGTTTCGGCAGCACCACTAGCTTCTGTATCTTCCACCTGTCAGGGAAGTGACCCTCGTTCAGGCATTTCTGCAGCACCATCCTGAACATGTCCGGGGATGACTGGATCGCCGCTTTCAACGCTACGTTGGGGATTCCATCCGGACCGGGAGCTTTCTTCACCTTCAATCCTTTCGCCACTGCTACGAGTTCCTCGTTGGTGAGTTCGACGTTATCTCCAACAATCAATACGAAACTAACGATTTTAAATTGGCTCACTACTTGGCTAGCCTATTGGTCCCAAGTAAACGATTAACGTACCTCTTTCTGGTGGAAATTCTAGTGCTACGCAATGTTTGTTTTGATTCGCTACGAAAGTTTGACAGATAAAATGAGGGGTTATTGGTTTTTCTTATGTTTCGAGGGGTGAATCGATTAGCTTGGGACCGAAGAGAGTACCAGAGCTGAGCCAAAAAGTTGAGCACGTTATTTCGGGACCTTCTAGTCTTAGAGTTACCTCTATGTTATCTCCCTCTCCTTTTCCGTACGGTGTAGGTGGCCAGTTTGTTGCGTCGTGCTTCGGGAAAAGTCCTTCCACGATGACTTTCAGCTTCTCTGGGCACATTTCAGCGGGCATCGTTGGACCTCTGATCTTCGCCATCACGACTCGGTATGCGTCGCCCCAGGGGTTGGCATCCCAACTTACAATTTTCGCAATGTAAACGTTTTACTCATTTCATTTATACAGCCTCAAGCTGTATTCAAATGTTATACGATATGAGGAAACCTTTACTCAACCTCTATACAAGCAAATCTGGCAAACTTAGTCAGCTACTTCTAGCTGTTGTGACGGTTGGAACAAGCTCTTATTGCATCGCTACACCAACACGTTGAACTGACGTAAACAAATATACACACTAATTTTTTATTGCTGGAAACCAGCAACATTTTGCTGGATTTTGCCGAGCTGGAAAGCCAGCAATCCTTCCAGCAAAATAAATTTTGCTGGTTTTCCAGCAAATCTTTTTTGACAGAAGTTTGCTGGAAAAACAGCAATTTTTTTCTTAAAATTATAATGGAAATATTGCTGATTATTCAGCAATTATAAACGCACGTTTTTCTCACTTTATTAAACAAAATAATGCAAAAAGAATGAGAACTTATTTAAAAACTTTTTTATTCAGTTCATATCTACCCTTAAGCACTAAACGTTCAAATATATCCTAGATCATCTCCACTAGCACCGGATGATAATTTTTCCGAAAGAATCTTTTCCACCGGAATAACCTAAAATTAAACACAACCTGTTAAGAGATAATATTTCCTTCAATGTATTCCCGTCTTACCGTTATTGTTACGAACAATAGTGAACTTCTTCAATCAGAAACCAGGAATTCTTAATACAATACATTTTTGGAGAATTTTGTTTGTTAGCGGTCGTCAAACTAATGAGAAAAATCACAAGTCTTTTTGACAGTTAATAATTTGCTGGTTTCCAGCAAAAAAAACTGATTTACTGGGTTTTCAGTAATTAAAAAGTTGTTTGCTGTTGTTTCAGCAAAAATCGTATTGCTGGATCATTTTCAGCAAACCATTTTGCTGGAAGATGAAAACAAAATTTGGTGTGTACATGACTTTCTACAATAAAACCGTTGAGAAGAGGCATTATAATAGCACAAACGAAGTGACAGACGGAGCGGCTCGAAAACTTTGGTGACTAACCTGCTATTTCAATTTTTCAGTGTACCACATGGCAACACCACTATTACCATAGAGGTAACTCTAAGACTAGAAGGTCCCGAAATAACGTGCTCAACTTTTTGGGTCAGCTCTGGTACTCTCTTCGGTCCCAAGCTAATCGATTCACCCCTCGAAACATAAGAAAAACCAATAACCCCTCATTTTATCTGTCAAACTCAGGAGGCTGGCAACCCCATATCAATCCTATACGTTTGACAGTAGGCAACATCACGGGCCTTATTTAAATACGGCCCGCTTGACATATACATGGTAGAAAGGGACGGAAAATAGCGTCATAAGTAGAAAGACAAGAGCAGATGATAGCAACAAAAACATGGCCGCCAGTCAGGCCCCTGGTCAAAATTTCATAGCGAATCAAAACAAACATTGCGTAGTACTAGAATTTCGACTACAATGGGGTACGCTAATCATTTGCTTGGGACCAATAGGCTAGTCAAGTAGTGAGCCAATTTAAAATCGTTAGTTTCGTATTGATTGTTGCTACTACTGGATTGTACCATAGAGGTAACTCTAAGACCACTGGGTCCCGAAGAAAATCATTATTATTTTTGGCTCACTCAGTACCAGAACAACGGTCCCAAGCAGTCCCAAGCTATTTCACTCACCCCTGCATGTTCTGCATGAATCCACACACCCCTGATGTTATCTGTCAAACTTTCATAGCGAATCAAAACAAACATAGTGTAGTAATAGAATTTCAACTAGAATAGGGTACGTTAATCGTTTGCTTGGGACCAATAGGCTACTAAAGTGGTGAGCCAATTTAAAATCGTTAGTTTCGTATTGATTGTTGATTGTACCACATGGCAACACTACTACCACAAACGAAGTGACAGACGACTAACTGGCGAAGAAATCCATTAAAATAATGTGGTTCACTGTAATAGAATTTTCTTGGAAGCTTGTGCCATCATCCACCAGATGGGTTAGTTTTTTTGTTTTGATTTGAACAAAGTTGATTTTGTGTAGAATGATTCTTTGACAGTGTGCAAAGAGTGCGTATCATTTTGTCATTTTTTTATGCATTTCAGTTTTGAGTAGAGTGAAAGAGATAGAACCAAAACATTCTAGTACATTTGGTGAAAATGCTAGTTCAATCCTGCTTATACTGCATTTGTTTATTTTTGTGGCCATAAAAATGACATGAGATGTTCGAAGCAAGAAAACAGACATTTTCGAAGCAAGAAAACAAAATTCAACAATTTTGATTAGATGAATGGTAACTTTGAATAGCTTACTGCAACGGATGAAAAAAGCCTCATGGAAGCTAGCAGTCATAAGTTTATTTTCATTTCAATACTTCAAAACTTACATCTAAAGGATGAAACACGAATACCTTTGGAAATACTTATCCCAAAAGTTGATAGCAATCTGGTCAATCGTATATGACCTGCTTGGTTTAACCAAATATTTTCAAAGGATGTTGGCATCTGAACGTAATGGTTGGTATGATGGTCCCCCATCAGAGTTCGGTTTTCTATTAGGATATATCACATACAACAGCAGTTGAATGGAAGATAAGATGCATCCCAAAAGATTTGGAACCTAAAAAAAAACATTTTAATTTAAAATAATCATTCAAACAAGAATGGAATACCTGGATGAAATTATCTTCTATCAGCAGTCCATAGAGAAACCATTGCAGGGATACGAAAAACGACGCAATGATAATGGGAAAAGGGAGACTTTCAGTGTTCTTAGTTCGTATCACTTGTTTCAATACTGACAGTGGTGATGCGAAAAACAATACACCAACACAACAACAGATCAGTCCTGGAATTAGTGAATATTAAAGTTAAACAAGAAATACAAAGTCTACAACAATAAAATTCTCGCCTATGACCCGCAGAGCTTTTTCAGTATCTAATTCGTATTTAGTGTATACAGTACATGCCAATATGAAGCATGAAACTGCCAAAAATTGCCGTACCACTGTTCGTTTGTTCACCGAAAATGTGAAGTAAATAATAATATAAGAGAAAAACAATGCTGATCCAATCGTGTTGACGAATATTATCGTATGCTCTTGCGATAGTAATCCGTATTTCAGCCACAGAGAGCACCTAGAAAACAATTTTTAGTTGAGTCATAAATTGCACATGTTCATTTCACCTCGTACACATTTTAGTTAAACACAAAACATTACTTACGACAGAAATCCAGAAACGAAAGGAACTGCAGATGTCTCTCCAGTAGACTTTTTTCTAATATATCGGTGGCATATCACGCTGAAATAAAATGATAAGAATTTTAAATGTTCATGTTCGCTGCTGATAAAACAACAATCTTACGATCCCGTTAAAAACTGTAATACTGTCGATATAGTGGCCGAGGATGCCAAGATATCTTTGAACGAGAGGTCTTCAAACAATGTCATTTCTGTCGTCACTGAATGCTTTCAGGGCGGAACATCCAGTAAAATACTAGCAAATTATTTTTAATGTCCGACAAATAATCAGTCAACGAAAATTGCCATCAAAGTAGGCCTTGTACGTTGGCACTTTTTTATAATCACATTTGATATGTTATCCAAGCCGACTGCGACGTGAACCAAGTATACGAGTTGTGTTTACAATCACAGCTGTTGGGAACGTACGACGAATTTGTCAGATTCTCATGTATAGGTATTGTAAATGTACGTTTGTATGAGTTAAATACATTATGGAAGATTTATTTCTGAACGGTATGTTTTGAAATTACTGCTTTTCCATCTTGAAATGATAATTTGATTTATTCATTGATTTAAATCTTTTTGCTGCAAGCATTAAAATGGGCTGCCAATTTTTTCGACAATTTTTATTGTATTCAATTGGGTGCGGAATTCACACTAGTAAAGTTGAATTAAATTGAAGAATTCGATACTTATCAAAATGTACCTTAAACGAGGAGGGTGACTCTATCTACGATACATGCGGAGACGAGCCAGCCAACGGCTGAAAGTCTCCTTAATAAAGATATAAAAAAAAAAATATATCTACGATACAGGAATGATTTTTTGTTGTGGTTAGCTGAGTATTTGGATAGATAGAAGATTGACGACAATTCTGGAGATTTCCTGCAAAAAGATGATGCACGATGCAAGTAGATGCGAGAAATGAAAGAAAATATTCGCTAGTGTGAGATTTTTCAAGCATCGTGAACTGCGATTTGGATGTGACGCACTCTCGTCCTTATAGTACGTTCAGACTACAGAGTTATAACACGCAAAGCAAAAGTGTGAATAATTTAATACAATACAAGCGTGAAACGTATTAATTAAAGATAGGGGAAATGTCTCTAATGTTGGCCTATGGATCTAAGATTGGGTCCATCGCTAAAAATCTGCTGTTTATCAATTTTATCTAGATGATGAACGCGTTATTGGGACGTTACTAATGGATATTTTTGGTTGCTATTGAAAATTTAGTCATTGCTGAATTTATGTGTGGGCCCAAATTGGGGACACTTAGGCCGACACTACCTGCATTTCCTCTACATCCTTAAAAATGTTCAGAGAAATCATCTTGTTTGTGTTCATTAACTATAATGGTTTGAAATTTTGCTCAATCTTCTAATTGGTTTAAAATGATCTGCGTATGTATGAAGTAAAGAGCAGCAAATGAAAGGTTCACATTTTAACCTAGTATAAAAGCGACATCTGCACGTCGTTTGAAAATGACATTGTCCATAATCATCACAGCAGCTCTATCTACACATCAAATAATTTTCGTTGGTGTAGATGCAGCTTAGTAATTGGGTTGTTTAGGGGTATTGACCCTAATAAAAATTGTATGGTTAATTTGCTTAACGACGTGTTCTGGGTATCATCCAAACCATTTGTGGAATAGTTCAATGATTTGGGTTATCGTTCGTTTATGGTTATTTTTTATTAGGGGAGGCAAATACATGTTCGTAAACAGCATAAAAAAGGAACCTAAATCCAAAATTTTATCAATTTTGGTGCACTGGAACTATTTTAAACAAGTACGATTACATTAGCAAAAATCACCTTATTAGCGCCCCTCAGTGTCACTTTGTATGGGAGCGAGCTGTCAGTTTGTTAGTTTAGTGTCAAACAGTGAAATTATTATTTTGCTTTAAATCTTGATTTAAAAATCAAGATGAATGTATGTGGGTTCGAAAAAAATATCGCTGTGCTCAGAAAACGAAGCTCTTTCGGATGATGTATAAAAAACAATACATTTTTCAAAATTAAAGAACCGAATTGTAAAATATGAATACAATAATATTTTATTAAAAAAATACAATAATATTTTATTAAAAAAAGAAATGCCATCAACAAAAATAAGTAGCGGCACCAGAGGTGTAATGGTAAGCGTGATTACCTCTCACCCCAGCAGGCCTGGGTTCAATCCCAGTCAACGCTGCCGGGATGTTCTGAGGCATAACATCTCTGATCGCGCCGAGGATCACGCCTTCCTTCGGAAGGGAAGTGAAGCCATTGGTCCCCGGTTCATGAGTTGATGGGTCGATAGGTAGGGTCCAGGTCTGGGAGCTTCCTCCCTGGCGTCGGTAGCATTGGTGCTCAGCACGGAAAACAAATCAAGGGAGGAAAAACAAAAATCAGTATATAAACTAAACTAAAACTAAAAGCTATAAAAAAAGGTATATATCACCTACCCTCTAGCATGTCCATCGTTGCGCACTGTCCAGTTTGGACCGTAGTTCCTCCATTTTCCTGCGGTTCTTCACTGAAAATTTAGCAAATGGTGTGCGTCAGAAAAGCAGGATGCAGCGAAGTTTGAAGTTTTTTTTTTACACATTAATGAGTATAAATATACACATTTTTTGACTGGTACCAAATACTTCGCTGGTACTACATTCTTAAAATGTGTATTTTTTTACACATTTAAGGGTCTTAAAATTTACACATTTTTTGACAGCTGCATATAAATATAAAAAAATGTGTATTTTTTTACTCATTTATGTGTTTACGCTGGTTACCGTGTAGGAGTGAGCTGTCAACGAATAGATCTAGCACAGACAAACAGACGTAACTCTTTGAGTAAAATTATCTTAAAATCATGGTGCCACCAAACATAGGACTGCAGTAACGACATCTTGCGGGCTTCTCGCGGAAAACAAGCATGCTCGCTGATTCGCAAAAAATGTTGCATGCAAGAAAAACCGAATATATAGAAACGTCAAAGTGATCCGATGTCAGCGCTGCGGCGAGTAGTTCGCGGAAACGATAACATTCAAACCAGTCGTTAAATGCGCAAACGATAATCCAGAATGAAGAGCTACGGCTGTATGTCTATGGGATCAAAAAAATATCGTGGTGCTCAGAAAACAAAGCTCTTTCAGATGATGTAGAAAGACCGGTATGTTTTTTTTTCGAAATTAAACAACCCAATTGAACCTCTCTTGTCACCATCACATTATTGCCCCGAAATTGGGTTGTTTAACTTCAAAAAAATATACCGATTTTTATACACTATCTGATAGAGTTTTGTTTTCTGAGCACTACGATATTTTTAACGATCCTGTAGACATTCATCTTGATTTTTAAATCAAGATTTATATTATTGATCGTTGACACTAAATCCACCGACAAACCGACATGAATGACAGCAAAACATGAAACATGAATAGCAAAAACAATAAAATTTCTGACCAAAGCACACTACTGACATCTGGCTCCGTGTTCGCGGGAAATATTTCGCTTAGCCATGAACGCGCATGCAAAAGTTATGAATTGGTTCGTGTCTGATCTATTCTGGACAAATTATTTTTATCTAGATCAAAAAGCCCTATGGTTTTGACAGTTCGGATCACTGCACATTTAAATCGGCCGTTTACGATTTTCGGGCATAAGTCAGAATTAAGTGTCATGTCGGTTTATCGGTGCTAAATCCACAGACAAACAGACATAACGCATTGAATATTTCTCACCGTAAAACATCGTCGCTTAAACATTACCGCCATTTGTTGAGTATACTGTGATGGGTAGTATAATGAACAGATGGCGGTAGTGTGTAAACGTCAAACGCAAGGGAATTGACTATGCGCGCCACAGGTGGCGGTACTACCAACTACGATATTTTTAAATTGACCATTAAATACTTGTTCGATGAACAACTTGCGCGTGTTATGTCTGTTTGTCTGTGCAACAAGTCTGTACAAGTCTGAAAATATACGCAGTAAAAATAAAAATATGTTTATTGATTCAATATTTAATAATTTGCGATTATTTTTATGTTTTGTTTTCTATTTGTAACAAACAGAATTACAATTGAATTAAAAAAAAAACTTTCTGAGGCATAAAATCTCTCCGGTTCATGATTTGATGGATCGATAGGTAGGATCCAGCTGTGGGAGCGGCCTTCATGGCGTCGGGAGCATTGGTACTCAGTACTGAAAATAAGATCGACGGAAAAAATCAAGGAAAAAAGAAAAACTGTTTATATTTTGTAACTGCAGCATACTTACTTACCTCTAGAGCTGAATCAAACGATAAAATTTTTGTTATTGTTTACATTTTCGTCCGGGTGAAAACGAGGGAATGGTTGGTAGTTGTTTTTGCATTCATGAACTATTATTGGCTTAAAAAAAGAATATTGTTATTTTTACAATAGTTGCAGTTGAAGAATGGCTTATTAAAACAAAAAGAATCTTATTTTGAATTTGTTTGAATAAGTATTATCGAAACAATAAAATGCAATATAATTTCAACCGGAATTGTTTGTTTAAATACAAATAAAGTTTTTTTTTTTGGTCCAATGCAAACAATTTTATGTCCGTGTTGTAAGGTGAAAACATGCGTGCAGCAAAACTAACCGACGGAAAAGGGTTCAATTGTAACTTTAATTATAATAAATATTTTTCTAATCTCATTAGATATAAAAATAGTCACAAATATTAACTAGCTATTGCAGCTTCACGAAATACTTCATTTGATATTTTTTGGATACAATTAAAAAAGGGTTACCACTTTTTTCGTGTACAGAAGTCTGTATATATGGCAACGTTGGTAAGAACACCGTGAGAATGAAAGAGTCGACTACATTCCTTCTGCCACACCTATATTAACGCACACAGTTCCTGCGCTGACTGTTCCTTACTTTCTCACTCTAATCAAAATTACTTTCGAGTAGTGAGAAAACAGCACCCCGTCAACGCGAGCGAGAACGAGAGTTTCCAGATCATTGCACACAAAACCAACTTGAATTAATTCAAAACAAAAATACTAACGAACCTAGAGATGAGGTGCGGAAGGTGGACTTAAATTCTATTACAGAGAACCACATTATTTTAATTAATTTCTTCGGAGAAAGTCGTCTGAAACTTCGTTTGTGCTAATACTAACGGTGGTAGAGAACTATATGCTTGGGCCTATTGTGTTACCTGACTTATAACGAATATACGTTGTATACGAGTACCCCGAACACAACGTATGACTCGTCTAATTTTGCATAGCATTTGTAATGTATGTCAGGTAACATAGTAGGTGTTCTAAATTGTTTGAAAAGCTAGTATAGCTTAATACCCCTTACAGACTATGGCTTATATCATGTAATATAGGCTGTCTTGCAATGATAGCATATATCAAGAACAACATGTTAAAAAGGGCATACAAGCTTTTTGTAAACAAACCTTGTTATGCCCTTTTCTCGCCACCCATATGATACAAACGCAAACCATCATCATCACCGGGTAGAGGAAACTATGCTCTTCCCGATGATGTTGTTGGTTTGCGTGGGTGACCCTCGGTTTGCGAGAAAAAGGCCTACAAAGGTTTGTTTACAAAAAGCTTGTATGCCCTTTTCACATGTGGCTCTTGATATTTCATGATACAAGCAATAGTCTGTACGGGGTACAATTTATTTTTTGACACATTCACTGATATTACATATTTTTCCCTTAAAGCTTATAAAATTTCAAATATAATAGTCCACTAGTGATTGAGTACTAGACTCCCGAAAATGTTATTTTAAAAAACTGGAAATGACGGTATTGTTACACACAGTGCTGCAAAATCTCGACACTATACGGCGATATTCAAAATTCTGCTGTGGTTACTCATTTTAGCTAACAGTCATCGTCAAAGCAAACCACTCGACAAATCATGTTAATTGTCATTGACCATGCTGTCAATGACGAAGATATGCAGATTTTTTATTGGCTAAATTGGAAACGAAATTAAATTACTTGAGCAGATCAACTACATGGAGCCGTTAAGGGAACAAGCATTTACGTACTGAACTGCTTGGATAACAATAATGTGACTCAGAATGCACGAAATAACATCTTTTTGTTACCAGGTGAATCTTTGTCATTGACGAAAAAATAAATGAGATTTTGAGGATTAAGTCTATCAGTGAATATGTTTAAAACAATGTTGTCAATGTCACGTGAAGCTCTGTCAATGACAATGACAAACCTAAGCACTGGCTACATGACCAACACAGTGCCAACATTTCAAAGGGGCGTAATTGCATTTGTAAATAATGGCTTTAGTCATCGATTTCTCGCGAATGAAAGCACACTCATGAAAATGAATAACACCAGCATGCAGAGGTATGTTTCCTGTATCAGCTAGCATTTGTAATTTGAAGGGGTGGGTTTTCATTTGCGAGAAATCGACGTCTAAAGCCATTGTTTACAAAAACAATTATGCCCCTTTGAAATGTTGGCACTGAACAGTTAAATAAAATGTTGAGGAAGTAACTTTTCTATTCGTATATCATTTAAATTTTCTAACGATAGTTTCATTCTTCTTTCAGATTAAAAACTTACTGAATACAGCATTAGGGATAGGTATATTTTGTTATAGAATTAGTTTGGCTTCATTTTCAAAGCTGGTACATTCCAATATCCAATCAGTGCAAGACAACCCTGGGGCAACAAATATATATATGCCAAGCCTGTTTGAATGTGTAAGAGAAAGGCCATAAAGTAGTGTACACAAAAAGCATACCGATGTGGACAGGCAATATGAATATCAACACATGTACCTATTATGGCATTGGTACTGGCAGATTCGGACTGTCTGTCAGTTGTGAAAGTGGCATGTTTTGCTAAGGCACAACTAGCCACAGCTACTTTTCATTCAATTCCGTCCTTTGGAAAAAAAAATAATTTTATCAACAATGTATATTTGATAAAGCAAGGATTAAATGTTATCAATATTATTTTTATTTATTTTTTATGCAATACTCAAGTGAGATTTCTGTAACATCTAATTACTTTGCACGATTTGTTCGTAGTTGCTAGTGTTATGCAAAGCTCAAACCTATCATTACATTACGTAGAATTTTTCTTTAATGGATACGATTATGAGAGTGATATGAAGGATTGACGTGCAGTAAAAGTCAAGCAACGCCGAAAAGTGGTACAGCTACGTAGAAATATTCCTAGACACGCAATTTTTACGTCCTACAACAGGAGATGGACACCAACGATCATTCAGAATCGATAATTCTCTATACACCGGAGAGTAGCGCAAAAATTGTCAGCGCACAACGACAAAGAACCGTAAGTAAAGTTTTATTTTCGGGAAGTGATACCACTTAACGTAGCTGCCCTTCAAACTAGACAGCCGAGAGAAACATGGCAAAGCGCAACGGTGTATAGTAATGAGTAATGAATGAAATAATTGCTTAAGAAAAACTTGTCCAGTGAAACTCGTTTGCATCCTAGAACGTAAAGCATTACTCGCTTCCAAGCTGACATCGAAATGCGGTAGAAGCGATAGCTCAAACCAAGCCTGTTTGCCAGAGACTGGCTCCTAAACCTATCCGTAGACAAGTTTACTTTGCAGTTAGCAGATGGTCGTTTGGGTTTGAAGCATCTAAGAATGGATGTCAATTAACACGCAAATGAGAAAAGTGGGTACCTAGATGATTCACGTGCGAACAAGTTCAAACGCATGAGAAAGATGCGATATGACAGAGACTGTCTTTGGCGCCTTTTCAAACTTTTAAATTGTGGAAACATAAAATAGGATCGATTTATCAGTAACACTTAATTATTGTCTCCGGTGATAACATGACCAATTGTAAGAGCAAAGATGCTTAGTCGAAGTCTCATAATCAGTGGCATTGGCCATGCCCACAAATTCGATAAGAGATTTGCTGACCCGTGATCACAACCGCCAATTATGTACGCTTTGGTTTTCAGTATACGCTCTAAAAGTAGGTAAGAAATCGTTCCCTAATTGCTCACTGGACTCATATCTCTAACAAAACACGGCGAGGTCCGATTGGCTCTATTGACTTCAGTAATTGCTAGTAATCGGTCTCGAACGGGTGTTCAATGCGGAGTATGGAGTTGGCTTAAATCTACTTCAGAAGCTGTTAATTTTTACGCGTATATCAAGAGCAAAGGAGTGTGTTCCCTCAACAATGGACAAGACTACTGCTAAGGAAGTATGTATTGATACCTAATTAAGATGTGTGTTATCCAGAATATGCAACTGCTATATATTTGCAGTCTGGAATGAAAAGAACATTATTCCTATTACGATGCTTCATTATCGCTGCGTCCATTTGAAGTACCTTATATCATTTGCCGTGAGTTTATTATGAGATTAAATTGATAAGTGATATTAGTTTGTGTGCAACACAAATTTTTAATATAAACATTAAACTGAATTCTTTCACCTTCAACATGTTGAAACCTGGCTATATTTCAGGAAATGTCCTTGAAATATGTGAAACACTGAAAATTAATGTTTTTTATTATATTTCTTAAACTTTACTTAAAAATCGTTGTTTACGGAAACAGTTACAACATTTATAAGCTACCGATAAAAACTGTGGCAGTGCTTCAAAGAACATTAAGTCCCAGTGTGATTGGATTGGATAGGATTTCTTTAGGCTGTGAACCATTTGCCGAGTTAAATTTAACTCGTGGTTAACCAGTGACAAATGACATTTCGAAAGTTATTTCTTATGTTCGAAAATCCCTGTGTTACCAATCGATCGGTTTTCGAGCAGAACTCAGCCACGGTTGTCAAAATTTAACTTCTTGTCTGTCAGAAATAACCACGCTAGCAGGGCTAATCGATAACCAATTTTAACCAAAAGTTAAAAAATCCGCCAAATGGTTCAGAGCCTAAAAAGACTTTCCGATAAGTCCCAGTGGGACGATATAAGTCAAAGAAGTAGCAGGAACACTGGGCTATGTTTGTTAATGCTTAGGGAAAATGATGTTCATTGGACGGACTACCCAAGTAATTAAATGTTGCACTCTATTTGCATACCAAAAAATGATATAATGCTTAATAAACGCTATATGGTAATATAGAGCTGATATAATGCTTAAAAGGCGAAATACTAGTATGGTAGCTTATTACAAATCAAGCTGAACATTGCATTAGGTCCTCCTAAGTAACATTGATCGATTCTTTTCGTCGATTTTCTCTTTCGTTAATAACTTTAGCACATAACTGTTTCTTGTTGTGTTTGTCGTATCAATATGCTGGATAAAAGCTTCTTTTATCGATCTGTGTGCTGAAACTACCTGAGAATGTCTTTACATGGCCGTGGGGATACAAATAGAAAGTTGATGAAGAGAATCTGTCAATGTTACTTAGGACCTAATGCAATGTTCAGCTTGAAATACTACTCATGTATAAGAAACGTAAAATAATTTCGCACATACGCCCGAGCGAAATTTTTCTCTCTTTTTTTATTGCAAAACATTGAGCTATTTGACCAAACAAATGTCGCCCATCGTATCCAGAGCAAAAGCAAATGGAACAACATAACCCTAATAAAATTGTTATGGTTATTTTGCTTAACGACGTGTTCTGGGTATCTTCCAAACCATTTGTGGAAAAGTTCAATTATTTGGGTTATCGTTCGTATATGGTTATTTTTTATTAGGGAAGATAATTGATATTTGTTTAGTATGTACAAATGCCAGCATCATTTATGTTTAATTACTTTGCTATTATTCTTTGATGAATGTTATAAAAATTACCTGTGTTAAGATTTGAACCGGCACATTCTGGAGCAACAAGCATCTGCCTATGCTCCCTAGTCTATAGACGGTGTTGAACAGACATAACACTCGCAAGTTGTTCATCGAACAAGCATTTAACAGTCAAATAGCGAAAATAGCAAAGATTTGACAGGCGTGATTTTTACTGGAGCGTTCAGTAATAATTACTAAACTCCTGTATTTTTACATTTTTCGTCAGTTTTCATACATTTGTCACTGAAAATCTGTAAAACTTTTACTGTAAAGTTGAGATTAAATGACATTTCATTGTTTACAAAGTAAAATAAATGCAAATTTTCAGTTATATTCTGATAGCAATTACCGAAAACTTGTAGTTATTTGACAGACAAAGGAAAATTAAAGCAATTTTACAAATCACTCGGTAGAAATGATTTTTACAGATCAAAACCGTAAAAATATACCGAACATCAAAACTAGAATTTGGTGTGTATTCTACAGCTGTCAAACCCCTGGCATTGCACAGCAAAAAATTCTGAATTATAATTGTGATGTAAACATTCATTCACGTTAACTAGTATTTCATTTCACGCAAACGAGCAACTTGTAAGCAATTTTGTTTACAAATATGGGCTTTTGTATACAATATTTACAACATTCCATGAAATGTCTCAGAACTTTACACGATTTATAATGTAAATTTAGATGAGATGTGACGCTCCTTTTATGTGCATCATATTGAACAGAAATTTACACTACTTTTTCGAACTGTGTGGGTTTCATCTTGCATTTCTTTGATTGTGACGTTGTGGTACCTATGGGATTTGAAGTTTTGGTACTGAGGCATATATTGTTAGTTAGTTAGTTATCTTTATTAAGGAGACTTTCAACCGAACGCTGGTTCGTCTCCGGTCCAGGCATATTTTGATTCAATGGAAAAATATCAAGTTGCTTCGATATCCCATCAACGTGAAGGTTTCAAAATGAGGTTCAGTAATAGCCCCTGGGTAAAACCGCTAAAAAAAACTGAACTGAAATGTTGTATTCACAAAGTAGGTCTTGAATAGCAGAGCAACTTTGTTGACGACATAAAATTGCTACGACGTCACCCCGAGAAGCTATTCATTTTGTCCAGTTAGATAACATAATTGACCCACTGTCCAATGCTTATAATTTCGGTCTTCGTACACATTTTTTTTTTTTTTCCTTTGGTTTGTTTTTTCCGTCGATCTTGTTTTCCGTGCTGAGCACCAATGCTACCGACGTGCCAGGAAGGCAGCTCCCACACCTGGACCCTACCTATCGACCCATCAACTCATGAACCGGGGACCAACGGCTTTACTTCCCTCCCATCCGAAGGAAGGCGTGATCAGAGATGTTATGCCTCAGAACATCCCGGCGGCGCCGACTGGGATTGAACCCAGGCCTGCTGGGGTGAGAGGTAATCACGCTTACCACTACACCACCGGCGCCGTTGGTCTTCGTACACATTTATCGATGATTTTGCCTTTTAAAGTATCCTTAAGTTTTGTTATGTTCATACACCACGTATATTTACAGGAAGCAAAATGGACGTTCTGGTTGTTGACGGCAGGCATTTCTACTACTTTTGGAGCAGCAATTCCTACAGGGTACAATATTGGAGTCATCAATGCACCAGCTAACGTAAGAATCTTAGAGAAAAATAAACGTCATTTGATGTCTAGATGTTTTATTCTGTCTAATTTCGTTACAGTTCATCAAAGAGTGGTGCAATGAGACGATTTTTGAAACATATGGAACAGTACTCAGCGTTGGTGCATTGGATACATTTTGGGCAGTAGTTGTTTCAATATTTTTAATTGGTGGAGTCATAGGTTCTCTGGGAGGAGCATGGGTAGCTGACAAGCTAGGACGGTATGTTTTAGTGTGACTTAATTTATAATTGCATGAAATTAAATTCTTTCTCTACAGCAAAAGATCATACCTGACATGCGGAGTACTCCTCGTTTTAGGCGGAGTGTGTTTTCAATTTTGTAGAGCAGTGGGATCAGTTGAACTGCTTCTTCTGGGGCGGGTTCTAGTCGGTTTAGCTGCCGGTCTCACTACAAGTACTGTTCCAATGTACTTAACCGAGCTGGCGCCAATTGAGCTACGTGGTGCCCTTGGTGTATTTTGCTCAATGGGTGTAACAGGCGGTGTTGTAGTAGGACAAGTGATGAGTTTAGAGGACATCTTTGGTACCGACGAGCTGTGGCAGTTTGCACTTAGCTTCTATGTAATACTAGTAATAATATGTTTTGTACCATATCACTGGCTTCCGGAGAGTCCAAAGTACTTATATGTGATGAAACAGAGGAGGGATGAGGCAATTAATGAAATCAAGAGATTAAGAGGAAAGGACGCGAAAGACGACTATGTTAAGCAACAAATAGAAGCAATGCGAAGTGAAGATACCCAAAATAGCATAAACGACGACGAAGAGACTCAACGAAGCAAACCAAAGCAACGATCCTTGTGGTCTGTGCTGACCGATCCTAAATTGACACTGCCACTGCTATTAGTTTGTGCCTTACAAGGAGGACAACAGTTATCCGGGATTAATGCGGTTCGTAGCAAGACTGCAAAATGAAATTTTTTTTTTATCCTTTTCTTCATTTGTAGGTATTTTTCTACTCCGTATCAATTTTTGAATCGGTGGGGCTTAGCTCAACAGACGCAAAATTTGCCAATCTTGGAGCAGGTTGTTTGAATCTATTCGTTGCCTTCTTTACGCCTGTTTTGATGGGAAAGTTCAACCGCCGTTTACTGGCTCTGCTATCCTGTTCCATGTGTGCGGTGTTTTTGTTTGGTTTGACCTTCGTTGTGTATTTCATAGTAAGTATTTCTCTCTTTTCTTTCAGGCTGTGCAATATGACTTAGTTCAAACATTTGTTGTATGTTTAACCACAGAGAACAGACATCCAAGTTAAATTCCTAAAGTGTGTAAGAAATTTAACTACTATTTTGAATAGACATTTGAAACTAGCAATATCGTGGTGGCGCTAGTGTTGCTGCCCATCGACGTTGATGACCAGCAGACGTCATCTTAACATAAATGTCAAAATTGTTGTGAGCAAAACATTGTTTGTTTAAAACTGATCAAAACATGGTCGGAAGTTCGAGTTTCAATGGTGCGCAAATAAACAAGGTGCGAAACATCTTTTCACAGTTTTCCTAAGGATGCTAAATTTCCCGAACTACAGGAGATTTTCTTCTCACGTGGAGTCCAAGCGCTTGCAACGAAAAATTTATGTTCCGACCACTTCCCCCCGGAGGCTTTTCGGCTCACTGAATCATTTGAAGATACGCCGCCAGTGAACTAAAAAAGTCAGTTTTGCTCCTGACTACTATGCACAGTTAAATTTGGAACGAAAAACGGTTGTAGATCTACAGGAAAATATAAAAAGCTTAGTTCTTTATTCGAAGATAATGGTTCCGCAGAGACTCGATTGATTTCCGTTGTTTTGTCTTGTTTGCTTTGAACTGATTTGACAGTTCATTTTGATACACGGTCAATGAGATCAACCCAAATTTTAGTTCAGTTAACTCATTAATCGCAAAAAGTGATAACTCGAGTTGCAACATTCCGTATGGCGGCGCTAGCGTTTCTAACGTATTTTTATTTGAATTCTAACACATAATTTTTCGAAAAATTTGTTTAAGCTTGGATGTCTGTTCTCTGTGTTTTAACCACAGACAAACAGACATAACACTCGCAAGTTGTTCATCGAACTAGCATTTAACGGACAATTTAAAAGTATCGTAGTTGGTAGTACCGCTACCTGTGGCGCGCATAGTCAATTCCCTCACGTTTGACGTTTACACACTACCGCCATCTGTTCAGTGTAGTGCCCACCACAGTGTACTCAACAGATGGCGATAATGTTTTAGCGACGATGTTTTACAGTGAGAAATATCCAATGTGTTATGTCTGTTTGTCTGTGGTTTAACTGTTCCATAAATTAATAAATAAATTGCAGTTTTATCAGAAAAGCATGTATTGAAATTTAACATGCGAAAAATGGTTTGGCGGGCCAGATCTCTCAGTTGAATACAATATTTGGTGTTTCTAATTGTTATTGCAGGAAATTAAAAATTCGATTCGTTTAGACAAAAATTGGTTAGATAGGGGTAAGAGGGGTATAGTGAGCATCCTGTGCACCAGCTTGAACTTCCGGCCGTTCGGAACAAATTGGTTGGTGATAGGATCAATATCATAATGATATTGAACCAACTACCAGTTGTTTTGTTTCATGCAGCTCGAGATCCAGAGCCAAACTGCGGGATGCTCACTATGCCCCACCTGTTCACTATGCCCCTCCTCCCCCTAATTTAATAGAAATTTTTGAAATTTTAAATTTATGGAACATTTTGAAGCGTAAAAATGTAATTCATAGGGTCTTACAAAATCATATGTCTAGATAGAGCAGGAATTAGAGCCTAACAGCTTTTGTAAACAATGACTTCTATCGATGATTTCTAGGAATTCAAGGCACGTCAATATGGTGAAAAATCCTGATTGTGAAAGTTTCTATAAAATTTTAGCCAAAATTTCGTTTTGTTGTAGGGTTTCCATACCGGTCCCTTAAAATATAAAATGGAGTTTTGATGAAATGAATCCAAAAAAATGTATAGAAGTGATTAGCTTAAATGTTGTCTCTTAATGCTTAAGGTTATAATTACTTTGATGCATTTTCGTAAAATTCAAATGCAGTTTTTTTTCGACGCATCATTTCAGATTGCAAAAGGCTCGCGTCATTCCATTTTTTTTTGCTTATATAGAAGTTTACTCACCATAATTCTATGAATTTGTGTTACTTGGGTTCTACGGTTTACTACCAGAGAAATCCGGAAGCTGATGTTTGATCTGGTGGGAACGAATGGTATCCTTCATCCGTTCAATAAACTGGTGAATTCAAATGAAATACACCTTATGTTTTCATTTCGCATGATTTTCAACGTTATTTTCTAGCGGCAATCTGCCAAAACGTTAACTTTTACTAGGGTGCTCATATTGTCCCGTAAGGCTTTAAATCGGAGTAAACACTGTAATGTTTTCAACATATTAATGTAATGAGTATATCATACGCCCATATTTCAAACACTGCAAATGTATATTATCAAACATATTCCAAATCATGAGTTGATTCTTGCATTTGCATTTAGGAACGTCTTCCATACTGGATCTGATAGATTCCTTCGTAATTCTTCAAGCTGTGTTTACTGCACTTGATATATGAATCACATTACTTAAGAGAAATAAGATAATTGGTTACAATCTAAGTTGTCTTAAATTTAATGACATAGGGGAAATGACGGCTTCGGCATGCCAGACTATTTTCGGCAACCCAAATTGAAACACTATTTTCACTGGATTTTCTTACGAAAACACTTCGCTGAATGCATGCAAACGATTCTTTATGCTTTCAGCTTCAATTTGACTATATTTTTACCACTGAGAAAAAGCAATCTAGCAAGGTTTTCTTGAAATGAAACACACGCACTACAAATTGTAGCTGATTTCGAGTTGCCGATAATAGAACAGCAGATTTACATGCAGTTCAAATGGAACGGTTGCCGAAGAAAAACTGGTTGCCGACAATACTCGCTCTCACTAGAGAAGATTGAAGCTTTGTAAAAGCGTTTCAAAACAGTTTTTGACAATTCTTTCGACTGAAATTGTTAGAGCAGCTGGCAGCAAAAGACTGTAAACAAACCAATACTGCATATGTGTGCGTTCCTTAGAGAAAAAAGCCTATAGAAAGAAGGTTGCTGCTTAGGTTGCCGAGAATACGTAAATTCCCCTACCATATTTCATTGTTTAAAAACATTATTGCTTCTTATTCTTTGGCTTTATTACGTCACCACTGGGAGTTTACGCAGGCTCTCAACACAGTTAGTAATTGAGAGCTTGTACCATTTTTGCAATAGTATTATTGTGTGGCAAGTACAATCATACTCTATGCCCAGGGAAGTCGAGAAACTTTTAAATCCGAAAAATCCTAGACCAGACCAAGAATCAAACCCAGCGGCCTCCAGTATAGGCTTGTTTTATAGCTGCGCTCTTATTGATAGAGCTAAGAGATGCCTAATTCTTGCATGTCTTTTAAAACTAATATCATTATATTCGGTCATTAATAAACGAATTGCGAATGCCTCAGCATAGGGAATTTGTATTATTTTACATCTAACAAATTTACTTTGCATTTCAGCATCAAGTGAGTTGGTTTTCATATGCTAGTATCATTACTATTCTACTGTATATATTATTCTACCAAATTGGCCTTGGACCTATACCGTACTTCATTGGATCAGGTAAGTGCTCCTAAATTTCCCCGCCCCATTATAATAAACTACAATTTATTTAATTCCAGAACTATTTGAGGTGGGTCCTCGTCCAGCGGCTATGGCAATGGGCAGCATAGCGTCATGGGGATGCAATTTTATTGTAGCCATGCTTTTCCCAACACTGCAGAGTGCTTGGGGAGCATTCGTCTTCCTACCGTTCACCGTAACCTGTGTGCTGTTAACGATATTACTTAAAATTTACTTGCCGGAAACCAGAGGACGGCACATTTCGTCAATTGCACCTCTCGTATCGAATGGCTTCCGATCAAAACCATTGGTGCCTTGGTCATAGACATTAGTTTAGTTCTCTTTTGCGCATAGTTTTTTCTATCGTTTTTTGCTCAATTTTAAAACGCCGACAATGCTAGTTCGATTTATGCGAACAAACACAACTCTAGAAATGAATTTGTTGAATAAACTTGTGCATCTCATTGCGGAAACCAACTCACATGTTTTATTTAATCCCGGGCGCACAATCGTAATACCAGAAGGCACAGTAGATTTACAACCGCTAAGCCCTTTGTGTACACTTCGGCACACCTATTGCACATATCGCTTCACCATTAATTGCCATTTAATCTATCAAACAAGTGATAAACAAAATGACCGCCTATATCGTATCCTATTCCACGAGATGATACATTTCTTGGCTGAATTTGCATGCCAATCACAGTTTGAAGCTCGTTCGAAATGGATCTCATGCTGCCGGTAAGTGACATTCTTACTATGTTAACCATCAAAGAATTGATCAATATTGATTAAAAGGATGCTGGTTGGACGACTTGTTTATTCATGCTGGCTGTGACAACTACACTTGGCGTATCGATTCCAGTTGGCATTAACATCGGTGTAATTAATGCTCCTTCAGGATACATCAAAGCATGGAGCAACCTAACAATTTTTGAGCTCTATGGTACGGTGCTGTCTCCTGGTAGCCTGGATACGTTTTTCTCCGTAGTCGTTTCCATTTTTTTGATCGGTGGAGTGGTAGGTTCCTTGGGCGGTGCAGTGATTGCTGACAAGTTCGGCAGGTTGTTGTGAAATATGTTTACCTTTTGCTATAATTCCAAATTTAAAAATGTTTCAGAAAAAAGTCTTATCTCTTATGCGGTATTTTACACACTGTGGGTGGATTCTGCTTCATTTTCTGTAGAGAACTTAAGTCAGTTGAACTGTTACTGCTAGGACGAATGCTTGTAGGTCTTGCGGCTGGCTTGACCACAGGAGTTCTACCCATGTATCTAGCTGAAGTATCCCCTACGAAACTGCGTGGGACTATAAGCACACTATGTGGATTAGGACTGACTGCAGGAGTGGTGGTTGGGCAAATCGTAAGCCTAGATCAAGTGCTCGGGACGAAAGATTCCTGGCAATATGGAATAAGCTGTTTTACAATACTTAACATCTTCTGCTATGTACCGTATGCTTGGTTGCCAGAAAGTCCCAAATATTTATACAGCGTCAAAGATGATCCAGACGAAGCCCTGAGAGCAATTCGAATCCTGTTTGGTCAGAACGCAATTGGAGATGATTATGTGAAGCTTCAGAGAGAAAACGCCGGAACAGCTAGTATATCTAGTAATTCAGAACAAAACCTGAAAATAGCTTTAGCAGACAGTAATCCAACGACACGCTCAATGTGGTCGGTCATAAATGATCCAACGCTGAGGTTACCTCTAATATTAGTGTGTGCTCTTCAAGGAGGTCAACAGCTGTCGGGAATTAATGCAGTAAGCCAATCGAGTTATGTTTCATTCCACATTTCTGACCGACCTTTCTAGGTTTTCTATTATTCAGTATCGATTTTTGAATCCGTCGGATTAAGTTCAATGAGTGCCAAATTTGCAAACTTAGGAGTAGGATGCCTTAACCTACTAGTAGGAGCATTAAGTCCCTATTTGATGGCGCACTTCAACAGGCGAACTCTTTGTTTGATATCTTGTTCCCTGTGTACATTGAACATGTTTGGAGTCGCAATGGTTATTCACTTTATAGTAAGTTGGAAGCAGAGTTAATATGTTTACTTGACCATTAACTAAATTATATGTCAACTTTTTCGATAGGATTTAGTATCTTGGTTCAACTACGCATGCATTATCGTCATTCTTTTATATATTATATTTTTCCAACTCGGTTTGGGACCGATTCCATTTTTCATTGGATCAGGTAATTAATTTTCACATCCTGCGTTATTCTGTTTCTAACCATCTTTTTCAAATTCCCTCTAGAACTATTCGAACTCTGCTCACGGCCATCCGCCATGGCACTGGGAAGCTTATCGTCATGGGGATGCAACTTTTTGGTAGGAATGTTTTTTCCTCATCTAACAAATGCATGGGGTGCCTTCGCTTTTTTACCCTGTTCAGTAACCTGTGTACTGTTGACTTTGCTGGTGCTTTTCTATTTACCCGAAACTCGAGGACGTAATGTATGCGACATCATGGTGCTAGTCTCAAAAGGATTCAAATCGAAAGTGGTATAGATAACAAATAAAAATAAATATCTTGTTCAAAGACCTTCCGTGTGAGAGAGGAACGGCTACTTTATACAACACAAATATTGGTGTATACTCAATAGCCTCACCACTTGAAAAATGGGCAGTTCAGTTGCTGACATGAGACTACTGACAATTTCATCGTCATTTGAACCATGGACTTCAAGCTACCGGTACGCTACTGCTCTATTAATATATTAAAATGTTATAAATTCTAGAAATATATCATCTGTTTAATATATAGGAAACAGGCTGGACGCCAAGTTTATTATTTTTCGGTTTTGTCGTTTGCTTCGGTGCAGCCATACCGGCAGGAATGCAAGTTAGTGTTATAAATGCCCCAGCTAAGGTGAATTGAACAACGAGCGAGCTTCTATTGTGACTTTAGGTAATATCGTTCTGCATTGCGCTTCATTTCTTTGTTCAGCACATCCAAACATGGTGCAGAGAAGTCATTTCAATCCGTTATGGCTCTATTTTATCTCAAGACGAAATGGAACTATTTTGGGCATCTGTGGTTACAGCAACGGTGATGATGGGTATGGTTGGTTGCCTCTCGGGTGGTCAAATATCGTCTAAACTAGGAAGGTAAGCGAACCACAATCATCGTTATCATTGAATTTCCTCGTAACAAAATTTAAAAATATCATGCACAAATTTTAGAACACTAAGCAGCTATATATGCAACATGTTGTAAAAGAAGAACTTTTCAGCATGAGTTCTTGTTTATACAACGAGGCTTACCGATTTGAATAATAAGGACAACATACAACAGTTTTTGCACTCAAAAGAGTGTCGAAAAGTAGTCCCTGTTATTTAAGTTAAGAAAGTAGACCATTATTTTATTCAAAACAGTGTCAAAAAGTGCCACTTTTCAGCACGTATGCAGGCATGGAAAATCATTTACATTCATTTCGTGCTTTCATTAACATTAATTTGCCTCAACCTTTTGACGTAGGATTACGGCTTTCGGCAACATATTGGGGGCGCAATTAAAAAAAAAACAAACAAATCGACCGCGTTCCGAAAGGTTTCGACCACTTATATTTCTGTCAATAGCGGATGGATTTTAATTCTAAACAAGCCAATAAATTGGAAATTTTTCAAAAAATCTGCTAAAATGAACACTTTATCTATTTTCAAAAGGTCACTATTGCAAATTACACAAATGTCCAACTTTTGTAGTGGTGATCAAAATGATCACCACTTGCCTTAAAAAAAGTGGTTTCCCTAACACAGTCGCCGAGTATTGATACCGAGCACGTAATCTAAAGTCATTTCTACGGTCGTGTCTTGGATACAACCTCTTACTTTCTCCATCATCAGAACTCCGTAAAATGAAGTATGAAGCTTTTGATGGTTTAGATACAACTTTTGTGAATAGCTCAAAACTGTATCTATTATGCATAATGAACTAGAGCAAACAGAACCCACCATTGTTTTTCAGTGACTGTAAAATACATTCACTGAAAAACAATAACAAGTTCTACCCGCTCTCGTTCTAACAAAAGCTTCATATATAATTTAACGAAATTCTATAGATAAAAAAGTTAGTTGTAAATTAATGCAAATTATTTTACAGGGACTGTCACTTTTTAACACTGTTCTGATTAACATAAAGGCCTACTTTTCCTTTTACATACATTAACAGTGTCAAAATATACTACTTTTTAGCATCCAGTGTCAAAAAGCTCATCTTTTCAACACTTTTTGGAGTGCAAAAAACGTATGCAAAATTCGGCTTTTTCAGCACTCGTCGTAATCAACCAACTCGGCAAGCCTTATTGGATAAATGTACGACGCATGCGAATAAAATCTTCTTTTTGTAACTTTTAGCATAAATAACTATCTTTTGAATCACAGTGATCAAATATGCCAAAATTTAACTCATCGGGAATGGCCGCTATGGAAACGTAATATTAAAAGGATGAAATCCTCCTTAATCGTTGAAAAATGCTGAGTTGCTACTAACATGTTTTTTTTTGTCAGAGGAGCGAAGCGACAGGCAAGCGTCTAGAACCTGGTCTAGAATGATTTTCCAAAAGCAGATTCTTTTAGAATCTTCTTAAGAAGCTTCTTTTAAAAAATAATTTGTTAAACATCCATTAATTACTAAGAGAGTAGCAGCAGTTTGATCTATGGCATTATTTAAACAATGAAAAAGTTACAGATTTTGCAAAATTATTAAAGCATCACAATGTTGACAGTTCAGAAACATTCTTTACATGAACTTGAACCTTTTTTGTGGCTTTCACAAGTGTTTCTGATATAAAAATGGTCCAGATTGAACCATTGAAGCTGGAGGAAATACAGTACAAATTTTATTAAACTGTAAAAAAACTGGGAGACTCAATTCAGTATTTATACAATTTCTTTTTTCGTCCGTAATTTTGATAGTGTAATCTCAAATTGCAAGCAAATTTAGAGCAACTTATTTTAAGAAATCATAGAAAAATATGGTGGAATGTACTATATTCTCGTAGTCTTCATAAGTGAGGACAAATCGAAAAAATGAAATCGCGTAAAAGTTGTTTGGACGATTTAAATTTTTGATCCTGCCGAAAATAATTTCTTCAAAACGGATCATAGTTAACAATTAAAATTATGGATCATAGTTGCTACTTGAAATTGACATCAATTGGCAAACAGTTCTCTTAACCGTAAAGCACCGAGCTCCAGACACTTTTAAAAGTGTATTATTGGGGATGGCCCCGGCGTAGTGGTTTAACATCCATACCTCTCACGGCAATATTTCAAGTTCAAATCTCATTCCCGAACAAGACACGAATGATCCAAGAGTGTAAAAATCACAAAAGAAGTGACAGACGACTAACTGGCGAAGAAATCAATTAAAATAATGTGATTAGCTGTAATAGAATTTTCTTAGAAGCTTGTGCCATCAGCCACCAGATGGGCTAGAATTTTTGTTTTGATTTGAACATAGTTGATTTTGTGTGCAATATGAATTTTGACAGTGTGCAAAGAGTGTAAAATTTTGTCATTTTTTATGCATTTCAGTTTAGAGTAGAGTGAAAGCACAAACGAATTGACAGACGGAGCGGCTCGAAAACTTTGGTGACTAACCTGCTATTTCAATTTTTCAGTGTACCACATGGCAACACCACTACTACTGGATTGTACCACATGGCAACACTACTACTGGATTGTATCAACAATCAATACGAAACTAACGATTTTAAATTGGCTCACCACTTTAGTAGCCTATTGGTCCCAAGCAAACGATTAACGTACCCTATTCTAGTCGAAATTCTAGTACTACGCAATGTTTGTTTTGATTCGCTATGAAAGTTTGACGGATAAAATGAGGGGTTACTGGTTTTTCCTATGTTTCGAGGGGTGATTCGATTAGCTTGGGACCGAAGAGAGTACCAGAGCTGAGCCAAAAAGATGAGCACTTTATTTCGGGACCTTCTAGTCTTAGAGTTACCTCTATGATTGTATTAGCATTTTCACCAAATGTATTAGAACGTTTTGGTTCTATCTCTTTCACTCTACTCAAAACTGAAATGCATAAAAAAATGACAAAATGATACACTCTTTGCACACTTCAAATAATCATTATACACAAAATCAACTTTGTTCAAATCAAAACAAAAAAAACTAACCCATCTGGTGGATGATGGCACAAGCTACCAAGAGAATTCTATTACAGTGAACAACATTATTTTAATAGATTTCTTCGCCAGTTAGTCGTCTGTCACTTCGTTTGTGGTGAAAGAGATAGAACCAACAATCAATACGAAACTAACGATTTTAAATTGGCTCACTACTTGACTAGCCTATTGGTCCCAAGCAAACGATTAACGTATCCCATTCTAGTCGAAATTCTAGTACTACGCAATGTTTGTTCTGATTCGCTATGAAAGTTTGACAGATAAAATGAGGGGTTCGTGGATTTTCCTATGTTTCGAGGGGTGAATCGATTAGGTTGGGACCGAAGAGAGTACCAGAGCTGAGCTAAAAAGTTGAGCACGTTTCTTCGGGACCTTCTAGTCTTAGAGTTACCTCTATGATAGAACCAAAACATTCTAGTACATTTAGTGTTGCCATGTGGTACAATCCATTAGTAGTGTTGCTATGTGGTACAATCCAATAGTAGTGGTGTTGCCATGTGGTACACTGAAAAATTGCAATAGCAGGTGCGTCACCAAAGTTTTCGAGCCGCTGTGGATTCATGCAGAACATGCAGGGGTGAGTGAAATAGCTTGGGACTGCTTGGGACCGTTGTTCTGGTACTGAGTGAGCCAAAAATAATAATGATTTTCTTCGGGACCCAGTGGTCTTAGAGTTACCTCTATGGTACTACCATAGATGTAACTATAAGACCAGAAGGTCCCGAAGAAACGTGCTCAACTTTTTGGCTCAGCTCTGGTACTCTCTTCAGTCCCAAGCTAATCGATTCACCCCTCGAAACATAAGAAAAACCAATAACCCCTCATTTTATCTGTCAAACTTTCATAGCGAATCAAAACAAACATTGCGTAGTACTAGAATTTTGACTAGAATGGGATACTTTAATCGTTTGCTTGGGACCAATAGGCTAGTCAAGTAGTGAGCCAATTTAAAATCGTTAGTTTCGTATTGATTGTTGCTTCTAACGCTTCTAACGTACCGCAATATTAGGACTGTTTCCCCTATGTATATATAAACAAAGAGTATTATTAATGCCGAAGAAGCTCAAAATAGCATGTTCACCGTGCAAATTTATTAGACTGCAATGTGATGAACAAATATTAAATGAAAAATTGAAACCCCATATTAACCGTTTGATATTCGGTGCACTACGGTACTTGTTTTACTTTTCTTTTTACTACTGCGTGCTCGCTGTAAAGGCTGGTGCACAATGTATAAGTTTCCGGGTTTTTTGACATATAATGCATGGGCTAACTGTCGAAAAACCCGAAAACTTATCCATTGTGCGCCGGCCTTAACAGTTCAAAGTTGATATTGGATTGACATTTATGCCATCGTGCGATTTTTTTTGTACTGTGGTGATTATGATTTGTTAATATCACAAACGAAGTGACAGACGACTAACTGGCGAAGAAATCAATTAAAATAATGTGGTTTGCTGTAATAGAATTTTCTTAAAAGCTTGTGTCGTCATCCACCAGATGGGCTAGTATTTTTGTTTTGATTTGAATGAAATTGTGTATCATTTTGCCATTTTTTTATGCATTTCAGTTTTGAGTAGAGTGAAAGAGATAGAACCAAAACATTCTAGTACATTTAGTGTTGAAATGCAAAAGCTCTGGTACTATCTTCGGTCCCAAGCTAATCGATGCACCCCTCGAAACATTGGAAAATCTATGAACCCCTCATTTTATCTGTCAAACTTTCATAGAGATTGCTGACGTTTATCGTATGCACACTACGTCACGTATACGTATACGCAAAATGTTTTCATCGGGAAAAAACTTCATAGGGGAAAATTTTCCCGATGAAAACAAATCACTAACGCAATCATACTTTAGCAATCTCTATAGCGAATCAAAACAAACATCCAGAGTGATTTGAGATTTGGGCGTAATTGCTTTTGTAAACAAACACGTCAATTACTGATTTCTCTTGAATAAAAGCTCAATCTCACAAAAAAAAACTATACCAAATGATAGAGGAATCATTCCTCTACCTCATATAGTGGTACTACTTTTTGAGATTGAGCTTTTATTCGTGAGAAATCGGTGATTGACGTGTTTGTTTACAAATGCAATTAAGCCCAAATCTCAAATCACTCCGGACATAGTGTAGTAGTGGAATTTATACTAGAATGGGGTACGTTAATCGATTTGCTTGGGACCAATAGGCTAGTCAGGTAGTGAGCCAATTTAAAATCGTTAGTTTTCACCGGTTGGTAGTAACGAGGGTAGTAACAACCTGTGGAAACTAACGATTTTAAATTGGCCCACTACTTGACTAGCCTATTGGTCCCAAGCAAATCGATTAACTTACCCCATTCTAGTCGAAATTCTAGTACTACACTATGTTTGTTTTCATTCGCTATGAAAATTTGACAGATAAAATGAGGGGTTCGTGGATTTTCCTATGTTTCGAGGGATGCATCGATTAGCTTGGGACCAAAGAGAGTGCCAGAGCTGAGCCAAAAAGTTGAGCTCGTTTCTTCGGGACATTCTGGTCTTAGAGTTACCTCTATGGTAGTAATTAGTGGATTATTCACTAAGAAGCAAAAACGGAAAAATTGGAAAAAATTATGTTGAAAAAAATCAGCGCAATTGTATGCAGTGTTGTTTTACATTTCTAGATGAACATTTTAAATCGTCCAATCCACATTGACCGACTTTCTCGTTTGCTAATAACTCAGCTGCAGAAACATTCCCTGCTGTATTTTATCTTCTGGACGCTAGATAAGAACCACCTTTATCCCTTTCGTGGTGGCGAAAAAGTTCATAGGATTTTCTAACAAGCAATGTCAATGTATTTTAAATTCTGTAAGTGTAGTTGCACGTTTAATGTGTCTGGGAATCGAATTGAAAACATTTATTCCTTTAAAATATAATGAATTTTGCACAAGTCAAGAAATGTGGTGTCCTGATTTCATCCGCGTTTCTAGTATTAAATCTATGAAAATCACTTCCCCTTTCAATACGATTACACAAATATCGAGGCAGCAAATCGTTAACTACTTTAAACATGAACATCATAGTCAAAAATACAATTTTTTGCTTCACCGACAACCATTTTAAAGCGTCTAGCATCAAAGTTGAGGAAGTGAATCTATTACATCTCACAATCAAACGCATTATTTTATTCTGCAAGCGCTGTAATCTCGATATTTGTGTTTCATTAGCCAAACATAAAATGGAAGGGCAAAATTCTAGATGAGGAGCGATGATTGATTTGTATAGCTGTATTTTACTGGGAATAGTTAAATCGTTTTCAATCGACGTAGAATTCCATACTTCTTGGCATTTTTTTTTTATGACATTGTCAATGTGAAAGTTGAACTTAAGTTTGTCATAAATAATTCACGAAAAGATATTTAATCTCCCGAACGCGATCAATAGTCTCATCATCAATTACAACAGAGACGTTCTCATTTTATCGATTACGCGAAATTACCACAAGTTTAATTTTACTTATATTCAATCCCAATTGCTTATACTTCAACCATCTACTTAGAGAATGCAAATCAAAAAAATCAAGTGTAAAACGGCATCATCTAAATCCTTAGCTGCAATGAATAACACAGTATCATCTGCAAAAAGATTAATATCGCAGAATCGTTAACCACGTCGCAAGTCATTAATATACATAATAAATAACAGGGGCCCTAATACACTTTCCTGGGGCACTCCAAGGTTATTCCCCACGGGACTGGAAATTGAATCATTAAAAACAGTCCTTTGAGTTCTGTCACACAAATAGCTTTCAAACCATTTATATGCAGTACTCGTTATTCCAAAGCACTTGATTAATCTTAACAATAAGGGTTGAAAAAAAAACCTATTGCTATTTGAATACTCCAACAGCTGGCCTTTAACAACAAGTTCTAAGATTTTCTCTAATGTGTGCAACATGTTGATGGGACAAAACTCTTCGGATTTAATCGTTCCAGCAACTTTTTGATTATGAACCACCAAGGATTTCTTCCAAATTTGTGGCACATGTCCAGTTTCCAATGTGTTCCAGCAAGATGTGGCCAATTACATGAAAGCAATCTTGAATAACTCTAGAATAAACATTATCAACTCCAGCCGATTTTCCTAATGAAAAAGAAATAACTCTAAGTTCACCTAATTGGGTGAAAAACTTCAAATCTACAACTACTATTAACTGGCTGTTTTATTTCATCAGGTACATCGACCAATTCAATGGATTGATCAATGAATGAAACACTGTCGACAAAATAATCATTAAACTCGGATGCAATTACTTGTTCTGGCTGCTCTAATGTGCCATTAAAAGTTATGGACCGCGGTTTGCTAGGTTACTAGGTTTTAATAAAGATTTCAAAAATTTCCATAACTCTTTGCTGTTGTTTTGATGCTGATCAATCTTCCTCTGGACATATTCACAACTAGTTGTCTTTATCGATTGTGAATACTTATTACGCGTGATTCCAATGATTGTCATTATTTGATCTACAAAACTTTTTGTACCATTTGTCCCTTTTCCATCCAAATTGATCCAAATTGTACCGCTGTTCGAGTTTTTCAAAGAAACAAACTTTTGCTCAACTAGTTGATTGGTACACGTTTTCAAAGCGTTATTAAGAACAGCTGTAGATTCATCTAAGTTACCGACCGCGCATGGAAAATCCACGCTCCTCTCAACAAGATTCGAAACAGCTTGCTTCGAATATTTCCTCCAGCACTTCAATTTTACAAAATTATCGTTATCATTAACATGGTTTAAGACATTAATCACTAAGGTTTCATGATCGGTTATTTTCAAATCAGTATCCGTAACTGAAAAAAATAGAATCAAAATTGGAGTAAACATGAGCAATTAAAGTTCTACTGCGCCTGGAAATACGCGTATTCTCATTTATTGTTTGCTTTAAATTTAAAAACTCAGCTAAACGCTTCAAATGATTCGAATTATGGTTGTCACGCCAATTAATATTAAAATCACCAGTTGATATATTTAATTTACTATAATCAAGGAATGTCTCGAGCCAGTTCTATAAATCTTCAACAAAACGCTCGTCACTAGAACTTGGAGAATGATACAAAACACCATAATTACCCATCTTCATGCCACGCACAACTGTAATGCCCAAGAACCAGTTACCATCAATAACTTCGTTGGAACGAAGGTTGAATTGAGCTGATTCTTTGACATAAATAGGTATAAGCATATTTGATTTACTGTTCTTCAAAATACAACATTTTTAAAAGTGTTATGAAAAAAATGATTTTTCTATTAAAATTACATTCCACTATTCACAAATAATTCAATTAGATAGATTTTTATGAAGCCTTACCCTTAGAGAAACTCATTTGTTTATTTGAATATCTATAGGAAAAAATCGTTCCTGATTTCCGGCACGCTTCTAGCCATCTCAGCTCCATGCTTCCTATCCTGCCGAGCTTTATCTTCAATTGAACTTCTTTTCATAGGAAGAATCGTTGCAGGCTTGGCGCTGGGTCTGATACTCTCTGTTATGCCAATGTATCTAGCGGAAGTCTCTCCGCTTAAAATGCGTGGTGCAATGGGAGTTTTACTACCATTAGGTATAACCGCAGGCGTTGTGGTTGGACAGATAGTCACTCTGGACCAATTGCTTGGCTCGGCAGATCTGTGGCACTATGGGTTGGGCTGTGGTGTTTTGTTTTATTTGTTTTGCTTTGTGCCTTATATTTGGTTACCTGAAAGTCCTGAATATTTGTACACAATATCAAAGAATCCTGAAGCCGCACTGAAGGTGATTGACAAGTTATTCGGACAAAACGCAATCGATGATGCCTTCGTAAAGCAAATACGAATACCCGTTCCAATCACCAAACAATCCACATCCATCTCACTTTGGACAGTACTTATGGACAGTAAATTAAGGTTACCATTAGTATTACTATTTTCAATGAACATGGGTTGTGGTCTCTCAGGAATCAATGCAGTAGGTGACTCAGCATCCGTTAACATATTTCAATGATTGACAATCTCTACAAATCTTAGATATTTTCTTATTCTGTCTCAACGCTGGAACGGATTGGAATAAGATCAAATGACGCAAAACTGGTAAGTGTTGGATTTGGCTGTATCAACCTTGCAGCATCTAGTTGTGGTCCTTTCCTGATGGCCAGATTCAACCGTAGACCCCTGATGCTGATTTCGTGCGTAGCTTGTGGAACAACTCTCCTTATCAACACAGTGATTATCCATTTTATAGTAAGTATTTATACCTTGATCAACGTAACCGATATACCGTTAATAAATTAAATTCTGCAGGATTCGGTTGATTGGTTCGCTAAGGCATCAATAGGAGCTATCGTACTATTTCTCCTTTCATATCAACTTGGTGTTGGCCAAATACCATTTTTCATAGGTTCTGGTGAGATCAATCATAGATATTCAAAATATGCATTTACACCTTTGTAAATGTACAAACTACATTGAGGTGCTAGTTACAAAGGTTGTTGAAGGCTGCGTCCCAATTGCTGGGCTAAAGTTAACTCGTAGTTAAAAATGTAGGATATAACAAACAGACATAACACTGGCACGTTGTTCATCGAACAAGCATTTAACGGACAATTTAAAAGTATCGTAGTTGGTAGTACCGCCATCTGTGGCGCGCATAGTCAATTCCTTTGCGTTTGAAGTTTACACACTACCGCCATCTGTTCAGCGTAGTGCCCACCACAGTGTACTCAATAGATGGTGGTAATGTTATAGCGACGATGTTTTACAGTGAGAAATATTCAATCTGTTTGTCTGTGGATATAAGTTTATCGTCTAACCCTACTACCCAACAAACAAGTTGAGCTGATTAAAAGCTGAATAAGCAATTTTCTAGCTAAAAAGCTGTTATTTCGCTTTTATTATTTGATGGGTATCCAACCATGGTTATTTTTAACAGACTAAGGTACGATTTAGACAACCGTGGCTGAGCTGTGCAGGTTGATCGGCAACAGAGATTTTCAATGGTGGAAAATAACTTTTGAACTTTCTTCAACTTCGGATTGAATTTAACTCGACAATTAAGACACAGCCTAAGTATGGAGACATATGGGACTACGAAAGACACGAAAATACTCATTAACAGTTATAGAATTTGTAACCTAGTTTAAAATATGCATTTCTATTTACAGAGCTATTTGACATAGAGCCTCGGGCATCCGCACTTGCACTGGGGAACTTTGGCAGTTGGTTATCAAATCTCATCATAGTTATGTTATTTCCTATCGAACAGCACGCTTGGGGAGCATTTGCATTCCTGCCATCTTCCGCAGTATGTTTTATATTAGGATTGTTTGTGTTTTTCTATCTGCCGGAAACTCGTGGACGTAACATCAGTGATACAGCACTACTCATCTCAAAAGGATTCAAATCTTATGTTCGGTAATTCATAACAACTTTTATTGCACGTCAATCGCCCAACAATAAACAGACAACAACCAACAATTATCACAGCTTTTCGCGGTTTCTGTAGTATTTTTTTCTGATTGCTTTCAGCTCATCGAAAAATACCAATACTAACATTGAATGGGGACCAATTCTCATATAATGTGGCCAAAAACCTTTGTACAAACCCGCAACTCCCTCGGTTTTGAGAATTTTAAGAAAACAGTCAATCACACCTTTGTAATAGATTCCTTTCCCTTTACTATCCACTCCTTGATTGTACAATCGAGTTGCTATCACATCCGGTGGTGTCATAGTAACACCCATAACCGTTCCACCTGCTATTCCAGAAAGAAAAGAAACCAAACGATCCGATTGATTATGATGTAGAGGGTGTCTTAGGAGCAGATCTTTGGTATATCCATAGCCAGCTAGTTGACCGCCGCTACCCAACATTGCCCGCGGCATTGTTACAGACACTCCACGATATAAGCCACGAATTCCGTGTTTCCGAAAAATGTCTATCAGGGCGCTCGTCATGCTGGTGTGCTGATGCTGATAGCCAACGGCAATTTGTGTGACTGCTTGAGATTGCAGATGAGTACGTAGCATGAAGAAAGGACTCGCCAGCGCAGATCCTATGAAACCACCAATACCACCCCAAAACGCGCTTTTCCATATTGATTGCTTTCCGTCCTTTGCCTTAGTGTATCCATTCTCGAACGCAGTATTGTAGATGCCTAACCTGAACAGTTAATTTTTAAATATTGGTTTCCAGCGTTTGCAGTCACTTTGATTTGAACTTACCTTGCAGAATTGATACCAAACTGGAAGCACAGAGACGGTGCCAATCCTTTCTGTAGTGCCCAATAACCATCGTTCTTGGCAATCGTCACAAAAGCATCCAGAATGCTTGTGTATGGCCTTGAATAAGTACCCTTTGCTGCTAGCTCACCTTGCAACTGCATTCTTGTTTTAACTACCTTTATTGGATGGAGAGAGCATAAAATAACAAAGCAAAATGAGAAAAATAAATCCGAACCAAAAGCCAATAGAAAAACAGCTACATGTTTCTACTGTATTACGATTGAAATACCCAACCGGAGAATGTAAGATTCTATTACATATTTGTATAAAAAGCATGCAGATTTTGTAATGTTTCACCACATGAACAGATTCTGTAATGTGGTCATCGGAAGGTTTTTTTTTTTTAATTTTAACTAAATTTTAGCTAACTTGGGGCAAATCTAAGCCGACCATGTTAAAATTTCTGAAGACCATTTTCCGATCCGGAAAAGGTGATGGAAACAATTTAAAGGGCTCGCGAAATAGCCGCCTATTCTTAAACATTTTTAGATTTTTATTTTTATCTATTGTGACATTACATGCTTTGGTACTGGCACTGGTACTTCCGGTTTTCTGGTAAGTGGGTAGGTCAACGCAGATGACTCGGCGGCGGCGATGGTGATGAAATCACCGGTGTTTCGGCTTCGTAGCTGATGACTCGACATTGGAGCTGATGATATGATTACCGATGAATCGGTGACGATGTTGGTGGTGTACCGATAACTGTCGAATCAACTGGAGTGACGCTGATGAGACCACCGAGCGAGGGGCACGCACTAGTCTGTCAATAATACACAGCCTGCTGACCAAATATTTAATATCTTGCCATTACTGCATTAAATACTTTAAACACAATATTAATTTCAATAAATACTTTAATTACTCACAAAATTTTATAATTACATTATCTTCAATACAGTAAAATTATTTATCATTACATAAATTATCGTTAATTATTTGTTAATTACTTTCAATACCGCTTAAAGTATTTAAATTCAAATTATTACTGTCTTCAAAGTATTTAAATTACTACGATGTATTTTAAACATAACGCACTTATATCTGGAAGGGCGCGCCCCTTGCCACCAAGGGGTTGGCTGGAGCGAAACTGATAAGAGCGCCGGTGGTGAGCGACGCTGTCCGATCGGTGACACTATCAGCGACTATCACGACAATGGTGATGAAATTGTCAATCAGTTCCTGGCACTGAGATGCCGCCTTAGCAGAGGAAAGAAGGCGGTGCTCAGTCCATTCTTGAAGTGTGGTTTTGGCTCGTCGTAAACAATGGCGGATCAACTTCTCCACATTGTTACTGCCAAAGACGTTCGGTGAGGATAGTGAGCCGTGATCTTAACGGAGCTTCCATGGTTGAACGAATACGACACCACTGGTTGCACGTGATTCGTTTGTCAAGTTTCGGCGACTAGAGTGGTGGCTTGCCTGAATGCTCTCCGACTGGTCCGGTACCAGTATCCTCTGTTCCTCTTAGATCTTTCTGGGGAAGAGAATCTGGGAACTAGTCCGAAAATAATAGAAAACGGCTCTGATGGTGAACCTACCCAATCCTTTAGTGCCATGACGTCACACTATAGGCTACCCTCTGGTACTGATATTTAATAGTGCAATTAAATGTACCTTTTTCCTAATCATTAATTTGTTTGATTTTCATTTCACGCGCAGAAAAGATCGAACAACTCTACGGCTGAGCATATAACCAATGCAAAAGAACACTGAACAATTGTTGCCACAATATTCATTGTGTCATTTTCTTCCGTGACATCATCTGTGATTATGCGTTAAATTTAAGGGCGATATTTTTTGCTTTTCAAACTGCTATAAACAAACATTGTGAGTAACGCATAAGGATGACATTTTGGGAATAGAGTTCTGTATTGGGATGGAACACCCTCTAAAAAAAAGTAATCGCCAGGAGACAAAGCCATCTGTTATACTAAACGGTAATAGATGGTTACAATTATAATTGTACCAACCATTGACTTCATACAAAAGAACCACGCGTCCACACAGAGCCTTGACAGCATTTGCATTCCGGAGGACTCTGTACCTACCTCATCAACGCGCCTTTTTGATTCGATGAACTAACCTTTACACTATCCCGTAGCAAAGGGAAATCCGCCGGTCCGGACTACATAGGATACCCCATGCTGCAAAATTTTCCGCCCAACACCAAACTTGAACTGCTAGACCTAATAAATAAAATCTAGGTAGAAAACACCCAGCCAAAGGAATGGACTTACAGTCTGGTGGTCCCCATCCCATCCCATCCTATAATTGGCCAAAGCCACCGTAAACAGTAGATTATTCTACGGGATCGAACTGTTATGCCTTTCCAACGACTCTCTAACCACGCGACTAGCCCCAACGTATAACCAGGCAATCCGAATCCGAAGGGCTTCTGCCTTCGAGACTCGCTGAATCAGCATGCGTCGAACTCAATGTACTGCCGTTTCAATACGAAATCGCCGAAACGCTGAGCTTCAGAACGTCCAGCTACCTAGAAATACCACAGGGAAACGCGAGGTCTTTCTCATCAGGGAGGAGAACAGAGCTCTCGGAAACCTGGTCCATCAGGAGCACCCACCCGTGTCCAGGGTTCACTGGAGTGGAGCCAGAGGATGGACAGAGCCAACCATACGCGTTGACGTTTCAATTTCCAAGTGCTTCAGGGCAGATAAGAGGCTGTGGATTAACTAAGTAGACAGTTCCACGAACCATACAAATTTTAAAAATTGTGTATGGACAATTGTCTACGCACGGGGAGGGGGCGGCAAGAATCCCAAAAAACTGCCTACGTAGTTAATGAACAGTCCCTAAAAACTTCCGTGCCATGCAGGCTTACGTAGCGGAGCTGCTGAGAACAAAATACGCCAATTTTCAACACTTCTACACGGGCGGCTCTAAGGGCGTGGAAGTTCAGATTCGGTGTAGCGGATTTATCCAATAGTTTATTCTTTCAACTACCCGATCAGTGTTCTGTCTTCTCGGCGGAGTCTGCGGCCATCCACTTCGCCACCGGCCAATAAACCCATATGCGTCCTAACAGACGCTAGCGTTTTATACACCTTGAACTCAGCAACATCCAGACACACCACGGGATCCAAAAGGCCGCTCCGCCGAACACCTCATTTGTTTGGGTACCCGGCCATTGCGGTATCCGGGGCATCAGTGAAGCGCATTACCTCGCTGCCACTGGACACTCCGGGCCGATAGCCATCACAGTTATTCCCATGGGACATGCAGTCCGGACATAAAAAACATGGGTGAAAGCATCTCTTCGAGACACCTGGGCCCGGGAGTGGTTCGCAGGGGACCGTTCCAGAGAAAAATAAAGGACGACACCTCCAAATGGCTTCACACTACGAGCCGACGGGATCAACAGGTCCTATTCCAGCTTCGATCCGGACACATCCGAGTGACCCACAACATGGGCAGGGCTACCTCTTTTCGGAAGCTTTGCAACACGATTATGACAGTCGAACACTTGGTTGTCAACTGTCCTTGCTTCCATAGCATCCGAGTCTTCTACGGAATACCGGACAGCATACGTAACGCCCTCTCTAACGACCAATCCTCGGAAACAGCCGAGGGGGGCGACACATCTAAATCCTCGTCTAAATCTCAATTCTAGATGCTCAACAAATCTCACACTAGCGAATCAAACTTCGAAAAATCTTCTTTGATTTCTCGCATCTATTTGTATCGCGCATCATCTTTTTGCAGGAAATCTTCAAAATCGTCAACAATCTTCTTCATATCTATTCAGCGTGCGCGCAGCTAACCACAGCAAAACACAATTTTTCCTGCATCGTAGATAGAGTCGCCACCCTCGGAAACAGCCCTAATAGTTTTCCTGAAAGATGCTGAACTGTTCTATAAAATATAATCACCCACCCTCCCCTCTTTACAAAATGTCTACGCCTCGAACATGGACACCACTGGAATAAGCCTGGATATCACATGACAAAAGAAATCGAAATGAATTTCATAGGTTTACCTTATGAAAATAATGTTGCCAAAATATTGAAGGGGAACAGGAAATTGACGGTGGTACTACCAAATATGATACTTTTAAATTTACCATTAATCGCTTGTTCGATGAACAACTTGCGAGTGTTATGTCTGTTTGTCTGTGGAAATATTACCGATAAACGGTAAACAATTTTTCGAAGGCTTGACACAATTTGGCAGTTGTGGTAAATTTTGCTTTGCCGATCTCACGGAAATTGAATGTTTTACCGAAGGCTCGGCTGTTGGATTCTCGGCACTTTTTTTTGCGGGCTCGGCGAAAAAATCTAAGTGTGTATGGAAGCCCGCATCTGAAGCTCCCGGAGATGGACCAGCCTGCGGCTTAAAATCTCCTTAATAAAGGAAATCAATCAACCACAATGTTAATTCTATTTTTTTTATTGAGTATCAAGCTGGAGCTGCGTGACAGCTTAGTTTTCAAAACTTGACCCATTTGAATAAATTTTGCTTCTATCTTTGACAATACAGCAGAAGTACTACCCTATATTGGCAGCTTGAACTTGGATTCTGTGTGTATTGTTTCAAGATAGCTATAGAAAAAATGCTGTGACGTGTGCGCGTAGATACATCTGCGTAGTAAACCGATTGAATACGTAAATCCGTTTCGAACGAAATATCTAAAGTATGTAAGTTACGAAAACCGCGCAAATTCCAAAAGCCGTGCGAGACAACCGAAGCGAGAATAAAAGGCTTATTATCGTTTAAAGAGTGCCACCCAAATAAATATGATAGCCTATGTTGGCAAGTTGATTAATTTTGGTTTCCTCCCTAGATATTCTACTTATTTACTACTGAGCTTTGTATCAAATTAGTTAATTTAAAGAACGTATTAATCATTTCAAGATTTTGCGACCGCACCGAACACATTCTGTACTATACATAAGCTCAAAAGCGTTTGACAAGCTCTACCGAATTGCGTATCACTTCTGCGTAAGCTCCGTAGACGTAGGCGCGTTGAATTCGACAGTCCTGTACCAACACCGCTTAACGAACGACCTCGAGTCAGTAAAACCGTTTAGAGCTAAACATCTAAATTACGTAAGATACGAAAATCGCGCAAATTGTGAACGCCACGTGAAACAACAGTAGAGAAAAAAAACTGCTTATTATAACTTAAAGAGTGCCACCAAAATAAATGTGATAGCCTATGTTGATTAATTTTGGTTTCCTCCCTAAATATTCTACTTATTTTACTGTTGAGCTTTGTTTCAATTTAGTTATTTTACCGCACGTATCAATCATTTCAAGATTTCGCGACCGTACCGAACAAATTCTATACTACAGAAGCTCAAAAAACTTTTGGTGAGCTCTACCGCATTGCGAATCACTTCTGCGTAAGCTCCGTAGTCGTAGGCGCGTTGATTCCGACAGCCGTGAAAAGTTAAACATGCATCAATATCACATGAGGAAAGATCGATTTTACGTAGGGTTTAGTTCATAGATTAACATTGACTGCTGTTTACAAATGTAAGTACTTGAACACTAAAAAATAAGTTAACTCAAATGCTTTAACCGCGAGATTCTGGGGAATGTTATATAATCGTTAAAATGACCAAAAACGAAAGCAGCCAGAGTAATAAACTACATGAACATCACAATATCAAAATTAGTTTTCTCCGCTCAGGTGGACAATCATCCAAAAAAAATAAACTTATGGACCGTATACACATGATCAGTCTTTATTCGGTTGATAGATGCATACTAGAGTGATGCAAAATTTGAAAATTTCGCTCCACAACACTTAAACGATTTCAAATCGGATCCTGACTAACCTCTCAAAATTTGAACCCATTTGGTGAGAAACTGAGATGGCACAAACCATTTGAAGTTTGTATGGGAATTACTATGGTAAAAACAAGATTTTTGTTCATGTCCATCTAATAATTCACCATATCGGTCTGCTTCAAAACCTTTCAACTGTGCTTGTAGGAAATTTCCCAGCTACAACATTGCTCAAGACCACTTTTTGATTAAATCCAAGGATCGAAAGTTATCAATGGTTCAATGCGCTGATGTCTTATGATCATGCTCAATCAACTGCTCAGCATGCAACATTGGTGTTTCTGGGGCGTTGACTAGGACACAAAAATCATGGCTACTATGTCACACTGCAAAATAAAGTGTTGCCTAAAGAGCAGCTGCTTGATCATGTCATAAGTTTACCAATCCCTTAAATAATTAATAACTTTTTCCTGTCTCGTTTTACATAGAAACGATCTTGAGCAAAGTTGTAGCTGAGAAAATTTTCTATAAGAATGGCTATCGAACTGTTTCGCAGCTCAATATGGGAAAAGACTAGAAGGCAATAAACAAAAAGTTGAGGTTTCCCATAGTAATTTATATGTAAAGTTCAAATGGCTTGTGCGAAGTCTGTTTCTAACCAAATGAGTTGTAACTTTGGGAGGCTAATCAGGACCCAATTTGAAACCATTTAAGCACTCTGGAGCGAAAAAGTCAAATTTTGCATCAGTCTAATGCATACTTTGTACTATAGCAAGAGCAAATTTTCATTACGTCGAATGTAACAAAGGTAAACAAAGTCGAGCTATCAGTGTCAATCGATTCTCCTGCTATTACACTATATACTGTCCAAATATAGGATCAAATCCCATTTTTAAATTTATTTGCCAGCCAAATTGCTTTTTGACGTAATCACCTTCCGATCAAAATAGTTTTCGATGTTACTTAAGTCACCCAATTTCTATGGAGATGCCGTTTGACTTAAGTAACAGCGCTGAGAAACCCGTGAAAAGTGTACGTTCGTCGTTTCGCTTTCTCATTATTAAAGTGAATAAATCGAACTGTTTGTTGCTAAGATGATTTCGGTGGTCCTAAAATGATGAATGGGCTGCACGTTAGGAGACGTAATTGATAATTCTCCCGAATATCCTGGTAAATACACTTTGACTTAAGTAACAAAAGGGGCCACCAAACGACGTATAATAACTTTTGACTCAAAAACCAGTATTTTTTAGCATGAAAGCTAGCGATTTGCATTTGTATGATTAAAACCCTGCTAAATATGTTAAACACTGCTATCACTATGAGATTATATGTGTTTACTTGGAAATAGGAATAACTTTTCGGTCATCAAAACAAAACTTTATTTTTCTCGGATTGGTGCGAATGTTACTTACGACATAATGAAAATTTGCTCTTGATAGAGTGTTTGCTCGGCATGCCCCTGCTTACTTCTTCCGACAAAGGGTTAACAGAGTACTTCAAAATAGACTTGGTTTAACTACAACACATCATTGGGACTATTTCTAGTCTGTTTATACAACCATAACAAATAAACTAATTGTACACTAAAAGAAAAGATTTCCGAATTTTTACCTATGCGTATTTAAGTTCATCAGCTATGAACTACGGTTTTGTCTTAACTGCCAACATTAATTCGCTTTAGCAACAATATTGATTGCTGCCTACACAGCAAACAAGTTGTAGAATATTACATCGAAGCTGCTGCAACAGGGGCAATCCATCGGTTGAGTAATATTACATTGTACGATGTACACAGAAATTACGAACAAAATTTCATGTATGGATGTAATGCTGTATCCGATTTATACCATTACATTCATATTTAATGCATCATGAATTACGTTGTTCAATGTTGAAATTTGTTTTTGCTGTGTACCACTTTACGTTATTTCATTATTTTTTTTTAAATCACCTAATCTGCAAATCAATAACATTACTATTGATACTTGCTTAATTAAAGTCAAATTCTAATTTTACATTATCATTGATCATACAACCTTACCTCCAATGGATTTGTGAACAACGTAGCTCCCATAGATCCGACGCCTCCAAGCAAGAAATCGGTGACATCCATTGCAAAACTAGATAACTCAGTTCAGTTGCTATATATAAAACAGAGAACCAGAAAGATCAAAAATTGCAAAACATGCTAAATTTATTATAAAATACACCGGCAAACTAATGATATTATATCATTAGCTGCGTCTGATTTGGTCGGATTGATGGCACGAAGTAAACTTTCAAGTTTAAGACAGTGATCTACGCGGATTTGCTGAAAGGGTGAAAGAAGAGATGAAAATGAATTTTGTTATTGTTATTGTTTTTAATTTCAGTTAGGTTTTGCACCGTCGGAATTAACCTCAATCTGATGACAGTTCAGTGGTACTGTTTACGTGGATTTAGTCAATTTTTTCTTGGGTGGATTTTCTCGATAATTGTTCAGACTGCAGTGAGATGTAAACCACACTTCTGCAATGTCCACGAGCAACATTCTTTCAACGCGCTGTTCCTCGACAATTTTCATGACATTGTTAATATTCGGAAATTTTAGAATATTTTTTTTCGAAAATAACGTCTAAGTGCTTGTAAACAGTACCACTGAACTGTCAAAAAGGTTCAGCTGATTAACACTGAGTTCATTCGTGACGTCACGCTGCAGAACCTAACTAGGTACCAATGACTTTTATATAAGGGCTGCGCCAACAGGCAGCTTGCTGGTGTTAGAAGCAAAAATGTTGTAAACATTGCTGAACATCTGCGAACAGATAGAAATACACGGATAGAAATCTCCTTATACCTTTTGGCAAATTTCTATTGCTGATTATTCATAAAATGTATAAGTCAACTAATAACCCGCATAAACGCGAACCATAAATTGACCTTACCTAAAATGGTTAAAAATTGTTTATAATCCCTGCTAAACTTTAACTGAAATGGTTATGGAACTTTACATGAACGTTTAATGATAAAGTTTCAACCTTATGTATTATAGTTTTTTGGAACTGGACTTTACAAATCAAGAGCAAATTTTCATTATGTCGTAAGTAACATTCGCACCGATCCGAGAAAAATAAAGTTTTGTTTTGATGACCGAAAAGTTATTCCTATTTCCAATTAAACACATATAATCTCATAGTGATAGCAATGTTTAACATATTTAGCCGGGTTTTAATCATACAAAGGCAAATCGCTAGCTTTCATGCTAAGAAATACTGGTTTTTGAGTCAAAAGTTATTATACGTCGTTTGGTGGCCCCTATTGTTACTTAAGTCAAAGTGTGTTTACCAGGATATTCGGGAGAATTATCAATTACGTCTCCTTACGTACAGCCCATTCATCATTTTAGGACCACCGAAATCATCTTAGCAACAAACAGTTCGATTTATTCACTTTAATAATGAGAAAGCGAAACGACGAACGTACACTTTTCACGGGTTTCTCAGCGCTGTTACTTAAGTCAAACGGCATCTCCATAGAAATTGGGTGACTTAAGTAACATCGAAAACTATTTTGATCGGAAGGTGATTACGTCAAAAAGCAATTCGACTGGTAAATAAATTTAAAAATGGGATGTGATCCTATATTCGGACAGTATATAGTGTAATAGCAGGAGCATCGATTGACACTGATAGCTCGACTTTGTTTACCTTTGTTACATTCGACGTAATGAAAATTTTCTCTTGAAATAATGGGTTGTTAAGAACCATTACCATTCCAAATTCTTGTTTTCTCCATACATTTTCAGAAAGGGAACTATATAAGAACGTTTTTACTTATGATTTGAGAACATTAATGGTAATGGTTATGGTAGTCAGTAAGGTCAATTAATGGTTTTGTATTATCGCTCAACTTTACGTGGATTATATCGTGAATTGGTAATCAGTAAATTACAGGCAACCAATTCGCGATATATTCCACATAAAGTTGATCGATGTTACAAAACCATTCGTGGATCTTACTGACTACCATAACCATTACCATTAAAGTTCTCAAACCATAAGTTAAAAGGTTCTAATATAGTTCTCTTTCCGAAAATGTATGGAGAAAACAAAAATTTGGAACGGTAATGGTTCTTAACAACCCATTATTTGTAAGGTCCAGTTCCAAAAAACTATAATACATAAGGTTGAAACTTTATCATTAAACGTTCATGTAAAGTTCCATAACCATTCCAGTTAAAGTTTAGCAGGGATTATAAACAATTTTTAACCATTTTAGGTAAGGTCAATTTATGGTTCGCGTTTATGCGGGAAGTAGACACCTTGCAAAAAGTTAATGAAGCTCATGTGTCAAATGAAAGAGAGATTGCTAAAGTATGATTGTGTAAGTGATTTGTTTTCATCGGGAAAATTTTCCGCTATGAAGTTTTTTTTTCCCGTTGAAAACATTTTGCGTATACGTATACGTGACGCACATTACGTACGACAAACGTCAGCAATCTCTATGTACACAGCAAAAAAAAATGTAATATCGATCAATGTAATTCAAGCTGATGTATAAAATAATGATGTAATAGCAAAAAGCAGATACAATATTACATCAATGGATGTAATTTTGTTCGCAAAATCGATGTACATCGTACAACGTTATATTACACAACCGATGGATTGACCTGGTTGCAGCAGTTTGGATGTAATATTCAACAACTTTTTTTTCTGTGTATAAGCGGTCACACATACCTTTTATGCATTATTATAGGACCTATGTGGTTTCTCTTATGGAATGTATAAGGCTGATGTTTTGGCAAAAATGTATACGTGAAACACATAAACAAAATAATTGATTTTCGTTTCGTGTACGTCACTGCCAACATACTGAGAACAGATAGAAATACGTCACTGCCAACAGCTGTTTCGTGTAAAAAGATAAACATTGCAATAAAATACGAACACCACTCAACATTTGCACATTTCACTAACGCCAATAAGCCCTTTGGCCCAGTCCTTATATAAACCTGCTGCTTTTTTTTTCTGTGTATGCTCTATCCTTCACGAAACGAAAATCAATTATTTTATTCATATGTTTCACTTATACACTGTTGCCAAAACATCAGCCTTATACATTCCATTAGACAAACCACATAGGTCCTTTAAGAATACATAAAAGGTATGTGTGACCGCTTATACATTTCATTTGACACATGATCTTCATTAACTTTTTGCAAGGCGTCTGCTTATTAGTTGACCTATACATTTTATGAATAATCAGCAATAGAAATTTGCCAAAAGGTATAAGGAGATTTCTATCCGTGTTGTATCGAAATAAATTTGGTAAATTATTAAAAAAATTCAAAATTAACGTAGGGCCAATTAGAGACCACTAGGTTCAAAACTGACTCATTTACCCTATTGTTTTAATGTCATCCCTTGATACGACTCTGTTATTCGGTTCGTTGCTGTGAACGTATGTCAAACTGTTTTATTTTGACTTTTTACATCAGTGGAACACAAAGTTTCAGTGAGAAGCACAAAAATCCTATTTTTAACATGAAATTTTGCTGATAGCTTTGAATTTACCTAAAAATTCAACCCTATTCGAACAGTGTATTGAGAATGGTAGTGTTTGATATCAAAACATTTCTGATTGTAAATATTTTTTTCGGGATACAAGCGTCAAGTACCCCATATCGGATCTGTAAGTAATTTGAAATATGTCTATTACTAGTGATTTGCATGAATCATTCCCCGATGCGTATCTCTTGTAAATACGATAATGGAATAATATATATATTTTTTTCAGATGATATGGTAGCGGAAGGTGTCTGTAAAACACGTCGGATTCTATTGTTCGATAACATACTAACACAATCAGATCCTATTCACTTGAGTAACCCTGAGAGAGGAGCAATTTTCCGGCAAACATGGAATGCGTCGTCATTCAAGAAGTTTTCCGATTGCAAATTTTATTTGCAAGCTCCTCCACGGATGGGTCTGTACTTAACAATCAGCAAGGCACATTTGCGGAAGAATAGCCGCGGTCATTGTATCGATAATATTGTGGTCAAAAAAAGCAACGATAAAAAGTATACATTTTGCGATGCAATGGAAGATGACGATGAGCTAAGAGTGTATACGGACAATAGAGGATGGATGCGAGTAACCGTAATCCTGGACACAACGCTTGCATTGAAAACTTTGGATGATACGATAGAGGTACAGTTTATTGCAACGGTAAAACGAGATTGTGATAACCTGGAAGGATATGCGCGTTGTGAGGACGATGAAGACGGTTCTTGTATCAGCAAAGACTTTTTTGAAGATGGTTTTGTAAACTGCCCCGAATGTGTAGATGAAAAAGGTTGTGTTAAAGACTCTGAACAGGTTCAGATACTGAATCCTTCTAATGTTTTGTTGAGTGCAATCATATCCCTCTTGGCAACTATGTTTCTGTTTGGAGGTTGCCTTTGGTGTCTCTATCGGTACCGCCACTGCATTGGAAATTGCAATAGCAACAGTGCCATGGCTCGTAATAATCAAAATTCTCTAACAGTCTCAGCTGACCAAATACAAGTCGAACTACAGTCTTCTGCCAATGATGTGCATCCTTCAGCTCCACCCGCTGAGGATAAGGACCTCCCTCCTAGCTACGATTCACTTTTTCCGGTGGTTAATTCCGGAAGAAATAGTCCACAACCGTAATATTTTTAAAATCAACTCGTTTCTTTGTTTCGCTTTCTTTGAGTTTGCAGCTAGATTAGATTGTGGATTAAAGTGTAGTTATTTTGTAAATAGTAAATACGTTGTGGGCCAAGTTTCGATGAAGGAATACGAACTGACTGACATATGTAACTAATTCCTAATCGAGTCCTTATAAGTTATGTTTATAATTATGTTATAAATTTTGTATTAATTTTAAGATCTCGAACAATGTCGTCGTAATAGGAGCTGTGCACAAAAAGCATAGCATTATTACACTCGTAATATTAGTAAAACAATGTAAGCAAAGGTGATTGTAATCGAGTCTAGTTATTTATTGCATATTGTAATTTTTACCCGAGTGGAACACGTGTTTAACCCAAGTAATTTTCTAATGGGTAACATATAAACTACGATTGACGGAAGGATGCAGATTTTCTCACACAAGCCACGAAAAAAAAAATAGTATAACCAGGAGAAAATAAAGTCTCATATAATGTACATATGAAAACTGTATGCTGAAATAGATGCATTTGTAAACTTGATAAGAATGAGTTTATTTTTCGAGAAAGAATTCGGACCTACCAAAACAGCATCAAAGCTATCTTACCCTTCCAAATCCACGTCAATCTAAATAATCATGCAAACAACGAATAGCGATAACAGTGCAACTAAATGTTCGTCACAAGCGTCCCGTCAAAGGTTGTAGGTGTTAAGCTTAAAAACAACTTTATCACAGGTCGCTCATTCATTCGAGATGGCAATTTTTCGCGCATTTCTTTTTGAATTAAGTCCCACGTCCCTGTTGATATGAGCGTCCCGAATTTAAAAAAAGAATTGTAAAGTGGAGCAATCAATTTTGGCTTTACCATGATAACAAATGGTTCTTTTTGGTGCTACCATTTCTACATATTTCTCGTATTTTTCTCTTTGTTTAGGGTATCTGCTGTCGCGTGGCATTTATGACACGTGCCTATCTAAATTTGCAAAGCACTATAGCCTCCATAGATGAATCGGTAATAATTACAATTATTGACATCATTATTGGTACGGTAAATTTTCGTATAATTTTTGGCGAGACTGACGGTTGCACCTTAGACAAATAGGATTCCGTCAATTTGTACACCGTGCTGGATTTCCACGCAGCCTTTCACTGAAAACGGAACTAAATCAGACAGTGAGTCACTATTACTAAGTTATGAGCAACTGTTACTCATTCGTATGGAGGAATTTCAAAAAGCGTAGGTCACTCAGAGCATGAGTAACCTACGCTTTTTGAAATTTCACCATATGAATAAGTAAAAGTGACTGATCGACCGTGTAAAGTTGTTTACCGTAGATCCTTGTAAGTTTGAATAGCTAAAATTGCATTTAAACGGAGCTTAATTAGAATTTGTTTAACTAGCACCCCTACATAGGTGCAAAACGGCGTTATCCCAATAAAAAATACCATACCCGAACGATAGCCCACATTATTGAACTATTCCACAAATGGTTTGGATGATATCCTGAACACGTCGTTAAGCCAAATAACCATACAAATTTTATAAGGATACACAGGTAGGTGCAGGTACGTAAACAATGACATGGATCGTCGGTTTCTTATGAATGACAACACACCCACGGAATCTGATTACTAACGTGGGTAGATCACCTTTTCGTGATACGTTACGGGATGTAAGATCTACCACCGATTCCTAGTCCTGACTACTTCAAACTTGGGGAACAAGATTTTTCAGTAATCAAAGGAACACATCTTAGTCCTTGTTACTTTTTACGCCTTGTTGATAGTGAGAAGACTCGGCTTTGCCCACTTTGCCAAATAATTAAATAAATTAATAAATCAATAATTAAATAAGTAAATAAATAAATGAATAAATATGAAAATGAATAATGAATAAGTAAATAATAAATATATAAATAATAAATAACAAAATCATCTATTAATAAATAAATAAACAATTAAATAATTAAATAATTAAATAAATAAATAAAAAAAAAATACTAAGGGGAGGCTAGCGGGGTGTATTCCCTCCTAAGATTAATGTAACCCCCTCTAGAATTGTTACTACAATTACAGTTGCCTTTACTGATCGAGCTAAGGGAGGCCCCAACTTTTTTATCCAATTTTGATCGAACATTTAAAAGAATATCGTTTTCCAGTCTTGATCAACAGCATGTTTTCAACTAGGAGTCAACAAGGTCCAATGTTCTTAAAAATTCCAACACCTACGACGAGTTGTTTACAGCTATGTAAATGATAAAATATACTTCTCTCGATAAGCAGAGCGCAGAGATACGTAAAATAATTGGCACCAATCGGACGCGCTCAGGTGTTTCTCTTCGCGACCCATACAACCGGTGCTGTCGCTTCTGATCGTGTGGTGCTAACTGCCAGTTGCTTTTACAATTCGAACGTTTCACGAATTAGACGTGTGTCGGCCTTGCTCTTCAATATATCTTGCTGTTTGTTATTCGGTTTATTATAAATGCAAATCATACAGCCATTACCGTAGCAGTTATAGATCGTACATTTCTGAATTCTGGCTGAAAGGTGGCAGTAGAGTGTGTGCATTCCATGTTTTGAACGTTTAATGGCGATGAATTTCAATTGATGCTGATGGTTTTGTCAATGTTTTTAATGAAAGCACAACAGTGGTACTCTGTTATTACAACGGAAGTGATCTTTGTGATAAGAAAGTGTAGGAACCCACTTTCTTGGAGGGTATCATAATTTGGCTGCTGTTTTTTTTTTTCAAACGAACAAAGAATCTTAAATAGGTGGTTAAAACAAGACCGTCGCTGAACTTGTACCATTCACCAGTATGGATGCTGAAGATCGGGTTGTGGTTACCTTGGTTCTACTTCAACTAGGTAAGCTGGTAAACATACACTGCAGGCTGTAAGTCTAAGATTAATACAATATAGTAGTTAGTAACGGTGGCTTCATCTGTGGTTAAATCGTACGTACACGCATTCTACCTTCAATATATATTTGTAATATATGTAGATTAACTGATAATTTATTAATATATTTACTTATAACTGACACTGACCTACTGTAAAAGTACGAGAGAAGACAGCTACAGTTTAAAAAAGTCCCTTCGATTTCCAAATGCTAAGTATAATTTGAAATAAATTAACTCCACCACATTTAACCAATATACAACATAAATTTACACTGCTACCATCTAACAAATATGATGATTATTCGATTATCTGAGCTGGGTGTAGATAATACTGTACAATAATTTTGAATTATATAAATGTTTTTTCATAATATAGTGCAACGTTGTTGTTGTAGTAGGAAAATAAAGTGTCGCAGTTTCATTCAGAACTGAGTACCATACACTTCACAAACCAAAATTTCCTCGATCTGAAAGTACAGAGAACATTATCTCATCTCAACAATTACCTTTAGCTGATTTTAAGGGGCGAGCCCGGCGTAGTGGTTAGCATTCATACCACTCACGCCAAAGTCACGAGTTCAAATCTCACCCCCGCACAAGTCACCAAGTTATAGTTAAAGTGACTATAATAATATAAATAATAACAATAATATAAAACCTTTAGCTGAACATAAAATGAAGAAAAAAAAACTTTCAATCGGTCCTTTCCAACATAGAGGTAGATTTGTTGTTTGGTGGCTGAAAACATGTATGGAGTAGGTTAGGTATGGTGGAGTACAGTAATCTCTCCATTTATGCGGTCGGGGGGGGGGTACCGTCCGTCCACCGCTGTTTCTCGGCTGTCCTTCCGCCAATTTAGCTGATTTGTTTATATTTGCTTAGTGTGAACCGTAAACTATATACAGAAAATATAGCAAAGAAGGTTGGGCACACTCATCTTTATGCAGCAGATTATTTTTTCATCCAACATAATGCAAAAACTACCCACCAAGTCCGCAATGATGTACAAGAAAAAGTGTGATAGCAAACAGAGCCATAAAAGTGTTGTATTGAAGAAGTTAGCAACACATTTTTATTGTTTTCATTTCAGAATATGTATGTTTCGTTAACGCTTACTCATGTTTTTAGATTTATGTGAATTACTTTATGTTTATTGGTAAACCGAAAAAACTCGACGCATTTTTTACTAAGTATGTACATGTATACTCAAAATTGGGTAAAATAAATGTGGATGCTTCCAGCCAACAGTGCACTATGAGCTGCTCACCTAATTCACCTGTCATCGGCTAAACAAACTATTTCAGTAATGATTGTGAATAAAACCATAGACAAACAGATGTTTCAACTCAATCGTCGTGCACGTATTTAACGTTTAACTTAAATTTTATTAGTTTCGCTTATCCCTCACCACATCGCTGGCATCGGATCATTTTCACGTTTTTATACATTCTATAAAACTTGTATGCAAAATTGTTTGAAACTTGGCAAGCAAACTTTTTTCCGCGAATAGCTCGCGAGATGTCGATAATGAGTTTATTGTCGATATTTTTAATAAAATTTATTTAAAGAGTTACGTATGTTTGTCTGTGATAAAACATTGTTCACTGTGTAAAATAATGTATAGCAAATAACTACATCCAGATTTTGGGAATACGAAAAATATTTATCACCTTAATCTGTAATAAGTATGGATTAATAAACGAATAAAACCTGTATTCCCAACAAACAATTGCCTATTGAAGAAACGATCTCTTGACGATTTTATTCAACTGCATGCTTAATAAGACTTGTATTAGACGGATTTCACGCCAACTCGTCTTCGGAGTTGGCAGCACCCTCTCAGAACCTTATGAAACTTTGTGGGTGTGGAGACTTAGCAATTTTAAGCAACTTTGAGTACTTATTTTTTTCAAAATTTATCTCGCCTAACATTTGATAAGGGTCAAAGTTTTTTGTCGATTTTTTTTCAAATCGATATAGCTTAAAAATGACAAGCCCTACAAAATAGTGATGTATGGCGAACTTTTAGCAAATAATCTGAAATTTTATAAAAAAATTTAAATAAATTAAAAAATTGGTTTCTACACTCTAAAAAAATATATTTAAAAATTAAAAGTCATTTTCCCAAAAATGGTACCCCTCAGATTTGCTTGATATTTTTTCTCATCAAAGGCAATATAATTACCTAACTTTTCTTCATACATCGCAAAGTGGGCGCTTTTAAGGAAAAAAAGTTGTTCGAACAACAACTTTTTCATGTTAATTTTTTTTTAGCGTGTTTCACTCAAAGTCGAATAGTAATACGCGCACAACCTTATTAAAATCCGTTGAAACTTAATGAGCATAAAGATTTTGACCTTTTGATAATCTGGGCGTGCTTAAAACAAAAATCTAGCCTAACATTTGAAAGGGCCTAATACAGAGGATTTTCCTGCATTTCGAATGGTGTTTTAATAAATGAAAACTCTAGTGTTTTTGTTTAGTGCATAATTTATTTTCCTATAATTCTCCATACATAATTTGAGTTTTTCATTGATTATTAGTCTATCGGAAACAGAGTGAAATTTTTCGGAGTTTCCTTTGAATGTGAAAATTGCTTAGTAGAAATTATGTTTTGAGAAATAGGTACAAAACAATGAAATTTTTGTGTACCAGGTATAGTTTTTACATGACTGAACAGCTCCTTGAGTTCATCGGACATCTTTGTGTATTGATCATTTGATATGAAGCAGAAGTTCAATTTTGTTATGCTTGTATCTAAAAAAATGTTGAAAATGAAGTTGTATCTTCGATGTACAATCCTTAAACCACACAGTTGAAACAGTTAAAGTTATTATTATTTACCTAGTGTATCATCAAATTCCTGATGTTCTGATTGCTGATGACTTGTTGATGGTTGCGGCTCTTCAAACTTCCGAGCATGGCTTGATTCTTTTCCATCCGATCGCCTCTTTTTCGGGAGAGGTGTCCTATTGTGCACTAAAATTCCACGACACGATTCACAAATACGCATTGTTACATCCAATTGATGATCAAAGCCCCATGAATGTATTTTCTCTATGAGACTTGATGATAAATTACGTAAATTATTGCGGCTGCAATTGGGATTGTTTATGTTGGCACTACATTGCACCCTTTTAATAATCAATTCAGCAGATTTTTCCATTGTTGTATATATAAACACTTTTTCGTTTCAACAACTATGCAGCACTACACTTTCAACAACTATGCACTACAGCAACTATGAGCATTGTTGTGATATCACCAAACTTAAATATTAGATTATGTCGGTAGAAACAGACTGCGGTGCTTTAAGTTTATACCTTATATCTCTCATGTGACTACCTGCGTTGTTATATAACTGCTATATAGCAGGTAACTTAACGATTATTTTAGGCATGCCTTAAATAATCGTTAAGTTACCTGCGCTATTATATGTATTCACTTGAGAGATGAGGTATAAACATATATGCATATTGCTTACTAATGGACACACCTAATACATAAAAATAAATGAATGATTATTTTTCTAATTAAATTAATCACAAATACATGAATTGAAATCTTTTCATGAATAAAACATACTAAGTGATTTTTACTTAGTTTACCTGTTGATTTGGAACAATTTGAGGGTGGTTTTATAGAAGTTGGATAGAGTGTATGCATATATTATAATACAATCCATCACAGGAAAGTGCAAACCATGCTGAGATGGCTGTTCCTCATTAGAACGTTTTGTTCTGAACTCTTATTGGACGATTTGCAGGCAGGGTGCCTTCCATTCATTTTGACTAAAAAAATGTTTTAGGAAATTATGGAATAATACGATATTATGATGGTATTTTGTATGTGTAAAGACAATTTTTTAAAGTTTGTGTTTGACACATAAAACCTGCAAATTTAGCTTTGACAGAGCCACAATGAGCGATTTTCTGATCGTCTCTTCGCGAAGAGTGAAGAGTGAAGAGTGGGTGAGATAAATAACAAAATCGCTTATTGCGACTCTCATGCAGCAACATTGGCTGGTATTATGTGTCAAACACAAACTCCACAATATTTTCTTGTTGCTTACACAAACAAAATATTATTATAATATCTTATTATTCCATAATTTTATAAAACATTTTTTTAGCCAAAATGAATGGAAGGAACCCTGTTTGCAGGTAACTTCTCTGTACCCTTTTCAAATGTTAGGCTAGATTTCGCCCAGATTATCGAAAAGTATACCCATAAAGTTTAATCGAATTTTAATAAGGTTGTGCGCGTATTACTATTCGACTTTGAGTGAAACACGCTAAAAAAAAATTAACATGAAAAAGTTGTTGTTCAAACAACTTTTTTTCCTTAAAAGCGCCCACTTTGCGATGTATGAAGAAAAGTTAGGTAATTATATTGCCTTTCATGAGAAAAAAATATCAAGCAAATCTGAGGTGTACCATTTTTGGGAAAATGACTTTTAATTTTTAAATATATTTTTTTAGAGTGTAGAAACCGATTTTTTATTTTATTTAATTTTTTTTATAAAATTTCAGATTATTTGCTAAAAGTTCGCCATACATCACTTTTTTGTAGGGCTTGTCATTTTTAAGCTATATCGATTTGAAAAAAAAATCGACAAAAAACTTTGACCCTTATCAAATGTTAGGCGAGATAAATTTTGAAAAAAATAAGTACGCAAAGTTGCTTAAAATTGCTAAGTCTCCACACCCACAAACTTCCATAAGGTTCTGAGAGGGTGCTGCCAACCACTGGATGAGTTGGCGTGAAATCCGTCATTATTTTAATAATAACTTCTGTTCAGGCTTTTGTTCACACAAATCTGGTGAATTTATTCAACCACAACATCGAAATATTTGGTTGTGGTTGATGTTGTAATTGTGTTGTGTTGTGATGTTGTGGTTGGTCGTTTCTTCAATAGGCAATTGTTTGTTGGGGATATAGGTTTTATCGTTTATTAATCCATGC